TCCCTCGAACACACACACACACACACATGCACACCAACACCCCCTGCCCCCGCCACACACACACACACACGCACACACACACAAGAAGTCTGCATCCTTACTTCTGCACAGCCTTGCAGTCTCCTTCAAACTGGTCCCCTCTCATCACTTTTGTGTTATCTCCGAGGTGCTTGCGAGACATCGATTCAGCACTCTTGGGATCAGAGAGGGGCTTGACTGGCAATGGTGGGATCTGGCAGACGAAAACACAAAATAGACATATTATTATTCATAATCACTTCAAGTAAAAATAGGTGCTTTACCCGCAGAATGGGATATGTATGGCATTTGAGTAAACACAAGCCAGTTTGTCCAAATGCTTTGGGACAAAAAAATCTCATTTTAGTTTTAGTAAGATTTTAATGGCACTTGAAACACAATCAGGTTGCATGAGTGCTGAAAATTAGAGGGGTTACCAGATTGTAAATACAAACAAAAGAAGAAGAAGGAGGAGAGATAAGGTCAATAGATGTCTGATAGGGAAGAAGGTGCAAATCATACCAGAGCACCCACCAACCACCCATTCTCAATCTTTTAATATAAGAGAGGCTGAATAAGTTGAAGCAGGACCTGGCACACAAGACAAGTTTCTTTGTCAAACTCGGAATAAAATCACTTTATTTTGTAAGTCAGATGCAAGAGAGACAGAGATGCTTTAATAACAACGGGTCAGCCATAAGGAAATACATGATACAAAACATCAACAAATTTATCTTATACACATAATTTGGCGACAAATTAATGTGTTATCTGATAATTAGAAAATAATTATGACCTGAGAGTGAGAGTCTTCAGTACCGAAAGAGGGATCTGACATTTAAAAAAATCTAGAGGAGCACTAATCTAGGTACCTTTTATCAGCACATACTATACATACTAATTGGGGGGGAGAATGTGGTACCACAAAGAATTTTTTTTGCCATTTCCCTAGAGCTCTTTTGAAAAGCAGCGGGGTAAAACTATACATGGTACTGTCAGTATCATATTTTAGTGATCAAGGCGTGGCATGGGGTTCGCAATTTTTAGCTCCAAAAACGAGAAAAAAAAAGAAAAAAAAGCTAATTTGCAGTTCAGGAACTGGGACCTTTGCCACACTAGCATGGGCTAGAAAGAATCAACAGTTCAAAAACACGAGGCATAATAACAAAACTGAAACAACAACAGTAAAGCAACAACATCAGCAATGACAAAAACAGATACAACTCTACAACAACAACATTTTTTCTGAGTGAACGAGAATCCAAAAGGCAAGAGCAGCATTCATCATTCTCAGGAATATATGGAAGTCTAAGGAACTGGGATTGAACACCAAGATGAGGATCTTCAAAACAAACGTGAAGACTGTTCTACTATATGGTTCAGAGACATGGAGGCTCAGAGCATCAGCAGCAAGGAAACAGCAGAGCTTTGTAAATGGATGCCTACGAAGGACAGTGGGGATCAAGTGGTATGATCGAGTCACTAATGCTCAACTGTGGGAAAGAACAAGCCAAAGGCTAGTAAAGGAAGACATACAGGTGAAGAAATGGAAATGGATAGGACACACCCTGAGAAGACCCCCAACAAGCATCATCAGGCAGGCTTTAACGTGGAACCCACAAAGAAAATGTAAGAAGGGAAGACCAAAGATGACATGGAGGCGAGCGGTACAAGCGGAAATTGAAAAAGCGGGGGCATCATGGAAACAGATAGAAAAGGATGCTCAGGACAGGCTTTGCTGGAGTAATGCTGTTGATGGCCTGTCTCCACTGGGAGTTAAAAAGGGCAAGAGAGAGAGAGAACGAGAAGTATATTTATAGTAATTATCATTTAGAGATTAGATATGGCATGACAGATAAGAAGAAACAACTGAGAGATAGTAAAAAAGTAGAACCTTCTTGGGCCACTTTGCGACTGCACACAACAAGATCAAAGAAATAAACTTACGATTACGCCCTCTGTAGCATTTCCGGTCACCAAATTATGATGAAGCCACTCAATATCTTCATGCTGCCGCAAAACCACACATCCTGATTCCTCAGCCGCCTTCGAGGCATTTATGGTGAACATAATGTTCTCTCCGCGCTTTATTGCTTCGGTAACAGTCGCTTTGTATAGAGGAAGGGGAGGCATGTTCGCTTCTTGGTTGTCAAAGTTGTTCACTTGTCCAGCAGGCCCAGTTGTATCATCATCCTACGATAAAATATACAATGAGCAAACAATTGTTTCAGTAAGCATTTAACAGCACTTACAATAATGCGATCACATGAGTGCCTAAGATTAGAAGAGGTGTTACAAGCACAAAAAAGAAGGAAAAATACGGACGATTGATGTTTGACAGGAAAGAAGGTGCAAACCACATCAGCGCACCCACCACACCAATCACCCATATGAGCTGACAATGGTCACAAAGGAAACATTGTCTAGATTAGGCACAGGCAAGCGCGTCCAAATCGCGGGCCAGATTAATTTAAGAGATATTTCAAATATCTCACTGGCAGAAAGCAGGAGAGAATGGGGTCAATTTGTTGAAATACCCAACTCTCAAAAGTGAGACTAAAACTGACAACAGACGTCAGACACACTGAGTTATTATATTGTTGGTAAGCTGTTAAAATGTGCTAGGCCTAGAATGCAATGTTTTAAAAGAGAGAAGAAAAATCGATTTAATTCTTTTAACAATTATAATACCATTTATCTTTTCTTGCTCTTTTGAATATCTAGAATTTGAACGTCAACATAATATTTCTTGAACTCATGCAACCAATACTACAGATAAAAATGAACAATAAAAAATTGAGGCTTAGTACATACGTAATTCTTTTTCTTCATCTCTCTCGCTCTCTGTCTCTTTTTCAGTCTCTCTCTCTCTTACTCTCTCCTTATGGTTGTGATTTTTTATTTATGGTTGTTTCATTGATATTGTTGTTCCTGGTGCTGTTGTTGGAATTGTAGCCGCTCTTTTTTATTGTTAGTTTTTCGTTTCATTTTTTGTTTGGGTTAGCAGTGGGATTTGGGGTGTGTTTTTGCTTTGTCTCCAAGAGCGAAAATGTTACTTTGTTTTGTTTGTTGCAGTAGCTTCGCCTGACACTTTGTAAATCATTGAATGTTATGTTGGGAGAGGGTGTCTGAATAAAGAACATGTACTTAGAAAGTAATCTAAGGAAAGAGAGAGAGAGAGAGAGAGAGAGAGAGAGAGAGAGAGAGAGAGAGAGAGAGAGAGAGAGAGAGAGAGAGAGAGAGAGAGAGAGAGAGAGACTATGTGTATGCCTACATGTGTGTGAGCAAGAAAGAAAAAAGAGTGTGAGAGAGAGAGAGAGAGAGAGAGAGAGAGAGAGAGAGAGAGAGAGAGAGAGAGAGAGAGAGAGGGGGGGGAGAGAAAGAAAGAGAGAGAGAGAGATGGGGGGGGGGGGAGTACAGAAAATGAAGAAAAGGAAAGGATTTAAGAAAATAAAACACTATTAAAAATAAACTGTACTTCATTGATACCCAGTACGACTTTTTTTTTTGGCGGAGGGGGAGATTTACCCTTTTTTTTTTCAAGCAAACACTGCAAAAAGTGATGTGAAAGTGAATGAATGAATAAATTTTAAATGAATAAATACATTCTTTTTAAAATAATAAAATCAAATGAATTCATACACATTATATTAGACCTCGCTACCAACAGGCCTGGAAACTATTTACTTTAATTTTGAAGACAGACAATTTTATTTTCTAAAATTAATTATCAACTGACTATGGGCTGCATTCATTATTAATCCCTAAATTTACAGGGTCGACTCGAAGATCCAGCAGGTCTTAGTTTGCCCATGCCAGTTTTAGATATTCTTCTCAGGTAATTGCTAGTTTTTCTGCACGTCCAATCTTAACATGATAACTCTTACATCAATCATCTTAAACTCTTTAACCATGCAATTATTTTTCACACTTTGACAATGTTTCCCAGATTTTGTGAAACATGTAGCGGGTAATACACACGCAAAAATATTCATGAAATAGCTAAAACTGAGTCAAACTGAAAAAGGAAGTCGTTTTCGAGTCAAAATAACTCTATTCAGATTTGTAAGAGATTGCATTCACAGTAACTGATAATGCTTCATGCGCCCTGGGATCTGATCGGACATTGTACTGGGACCATCCATCGGGGACTGGCCGAGTTCCATTGGACGCTCCCATTGTCTACTAGAGGTTAATAGAGTTAATATTCAGGTGATGAGCCTCAGGCATGCAAGCATTAAACATTGTAACCAAAGGCGGTGGGTAGTGAAAGGCTCAATTAGGGCTTGAGGCCCCCCCCCCCCTATCCCAAAGTAAATGGTTTCTTAAATAATGAACACTTAAAAAATGTTATGATTGTACGCAATGAACACAGAGTGATCAACTTGGCAGCTTGCTCGCTTTTATCCAACCATTGTTGTCACTCACAACTATAGTAACCTAACTGTTAATCAAATGTCTTTAAGGGCTCAGCACAGGATGAGCCCATTCCAATGGCTCCTCGGTAAGGAAAATCTTCTAGTAAAAAGGTAGAGGACTGGAAAAAAGAACACTGTACTGAGGGCTCACGCTCTCCTGGCCCTGACAATGGGGTGAAAGTCTACGACACACTTTCTCCTAGTGACACAGATACCTACGCACTCATTGGACCTTTAAGTAAGGTGCGTTCTACTTTCCGCGACCACACAGCCTAATCCAGCTCATAGACGGAATATACTTGAAGTGCTGGAAAATTATAAAAATTAACAAGTGAATGGAAGACAAAAGGTGACTGTTCTCTAGTTTGAACGGTTCTCAAAATGCTGTGGCTTACGTAGTGACTAAAGAAAAATCGGTACTGTTTAGTAGGATTGCTTGCTACTTGGTAGTAAAGAAGTGGAAGCAACCAAAGCCCCACCCAAATTTTGGTCCACCCACCTCCACTGACTGTAACCATAAGAGATGGGGGAAGTTGGACATACAAAACATGGGAGACAGAGGCCTACATTTTCATAGGAAGTAGAAGAGCTCGATATCTATGTTGGGAGGATTTCCATAACGAGCGACCACTACGAGAAAGAGTAGAACAGAGGGGTGGAGGGGTTAGGGGTAGGGAGTACTACTTAAGGATGTGAGTCCCGTTTAACATTATAACTATGGAGAGTGGCTTTTGGCTCTTGACTCCACCGACGATTACTTTTTGATGCGTGTGCCGACATGGAGACAAAAATCGTACACGTAGAGGTACGATCTTTGATAGAGAGATATCAAACCTAATTGAAAAACATCAAGTTAGGGTCAAATTCAGGGGGTGGCCCCCCCCTGAAAACCTCCTTGTTCAGAACAAGTGAAATTTGACTGCTCATTTTGTAGGCTATTGAAAAATAACAGAGCATCTCTCGCTCTCGTAGGGATAAACTTCGATTCCGAAATAATTTTGAAGTTAGTATCGATATCCAGTAGGCCTACTCTGTGTGGATGATGCCAACCCCTTACAGACGGGTAACCAGTCATTTCGTCACACGGTCATCTCGTCACCCCCCAATTAAGTGTGATGAAATGACTTCGCTTTTATATCTCTCCAAAATTGTTATGCTAGTAGAGATTTGGAGGATCAGCCTAAAGCTTTTTTTAAGTTATATTAAATTATTAATGTAGATTAAATCTTCATCTAAACTGCTCCATAGCTGAACAATAGTTTTTAAAATAAGGCAAAAACAATGTTTGGTAAAAAGTTAGTAAGGCTTTATTTGAAAGTAAGGGTCTAGCTTTTAACAAATTTCAGTTACCGTACATTTATATTTTTGCTATTTTATTTTTAATTGTTAACAAAAAGTTAGGATCTTGCCAATCACACCTTTCATCAATACTACTTAAAAACTTTGTTGATCTGACTTGATAGATTTCAATATTGTCAATAGGCCTATATTATTAATGAACGGTGTAGCTGATCAGGTAGGCATGACAACTCGCACCCCCCCCCCCCCACAAACGGATAATTAGAGAAGGTCAGGAGAATGCCATTGGCCGATATATTTATAGTAGTGACAGACATCTTGTTTGGTGTCATTGAGGGATTCCCATTTTGCTGTCAGTCATGGTGGCAACACGACCGCACGACGGCAGCCTGCAGACTCGGATTAAATCTTAGATTTTCTTTGCAACTTGCAGAACTTTTCGGTTCTGTTCTCTGTGATTGTGCAGCACTCTTCTTCTGCCCAGATTGATTCTGAAGCTGTACACTACTTAAATAGAGAAGAAGAAGCTTCGCAAAATCATCACTATTTTTATAATCATGATCAGGTGACGCTTCGGTGGGCATCCCCCTTGCGAGGTCAAACAAGACCGCTGTTACTATAAATATCGGCCAATGGTGTACTCTATATGTTCTGTAATTATCCGCTTGTCTCCCTTCCCGACCTTCCATACACTTCCCCCCAACCCTCACCCAAAAATCGTGATTTGCGATTGCCATGACAATGTACGTTTGATGTTCGCAAAAGTGTGCTCGCTACAAAATGACTGTCTCCATTCAACATTGTCGATTTGGGGTGTGACAAGATGACTGATATTCAACAGATGGAACCCACATTCTTAAGTAGTAGCCTACCGTGGTAGAAATAGGGGTAGGGTTTGGGGTAGGTTTAGGGTTACGGTTTAGGCTTGGGGTTGGGTTTGGGTTAGGGTTAGGTCTCTTCTTATAAATTGTGTTTGTAGGGGTGGTGGGTGGCGCTCCATATGGAAGGCCGAAATTATTGTTAGCTGTAGCTAAATTCACGAGGAACAATAATATTAATAATTTTTAAAATGCAGTGGCTACATTCACGGCGCCCTGAATGCAGTTTGCAGGCGCTGTTGAGGCTACGTTCACAGCACTAAAGCTTCGTTTAACCCCTTCACTGCCAGCTATGAGCTACATAGCTGTGCCGGGGAAAATTGCTTCAATTACTACAAGCGTCACATAGAGCCCCTAACTCAGAAACTCAATTGAAATCATTATCATCACTGTTACAGTCATTCATAATTTCGTCCAGAACTTTTGCAGCTAAAAAGGAAGGTCGATAGACTGGTTTGTTGGATGCCATTGCGAAAAGCAACAAAAAAAAAACGTACACAACTCAGAACGTCAACACTTCACTTCTTCAAAACAATGAAAATGACGCTCAGATTCACGGGAGACTACTGAGGATTAGCCGTGACACAGTTTTGACCCTTTAAAAAGAGGAAAATTACACTAAAAATGACTTCATCATAGGCCCGCCGAATCAGCGGGCACATGGCAGTGAAGACGTTAAGGGGAGCGTCCACTGCCGGTTTAAGTCAGCTGGTTTTAGTCAGTGATGACAGTGACGTATATTTAATATTTTGGCCAGGTTCAAGCGTTCCATCCCATGAGATGAAGGAAAACGAAGCGCCCTTACCGAATTAAAGTCGGGGTATGGGATTATAATATGGAAAATTGGATACGGTAGGCCTATAATGGGAAACACGAGGTGAGAGATGGGACACAGAAGGTGGGATTCGGTAGATGGGACTGGTCATAAAATGTGTATAAGAATGACTGTATTGAACCGGGTCAGCCAGGGAACAGTGGCGGTGGGTAGAGAAGGGCTCATGGGCTTGAGCCCCCCTCCCCACCCCCCAGCTCTATCCCAAAACAAATGAAAATAACGAAATAAGCAGTTGAAACTGTTATGATCGCACGCAACGAACACAGAGTAATCAACTTGGTGGCTAGCTCGTTTACCCAATCACTGTTGTCACCGCTTACAACTATAGTAACCTAACAGCAAAGAAAATGTCTCTAGGGCTCAGCAAAAGACGAGCCCATCCCCACTGCCCCTCCATAATAAAATCCCTCATGTAAAAAGGCAGAAAACTGTTAAAAATAACACTGCACAGAGGGGCTCACGCTCTCCTAGCCCTGACAATGTCAGAGTGAAAGTTTACGACACACTTTCCTCCCCCAGAGAAACAGTGAGTTTATTGGACCTTGGTTATGTTGTACTTTCCACGACTACGCATCCTAATCCAGCTCATAGACGGTATATGGAGTGCTTTGAGATCATGTTGGTGTGTGCGCCGCTGAGATTTAACAGTTATTAAACATCAAACCACTTTTGGGGCAATTTTTCATTTGATGAAAATTAATTAGAGAAATTTGGAGGAGAAACGGCTTCGTCCCCACCATCCAGAAGAATTTAAACAAAGAGATGGAAGACAAACGTGATTCACCTCGTTTGAATGATTCTAAAAATGAAAAATGCCGCGACTTGCAGAGAGTATAGAAAAATCACCACTGTTTTGTTCTTATTGCTTGCTATTTGGTGGCAAAGAAGTGGAAACAACCTATGCCCCACCCAAATTTGGGTCCACCCACCGCCACAGCCTGGGAACCAACGCAGAGAGAAAATGATGGGAATCAATTATTCTTATTATAATAATAACAAACACCCTCTATCTCTCTTTTTCTGTCTGTCTCTCCCCTTTCTCTTTCTCCAACCCCCCCTCTCTCTCTATTTTACTCTATCTCTGTGTCTCTCCCTCCCTTTTTCTCTCTCCCCTTCTCTCTTTCTCTCTCTCCCATCCCCCCCCCCCCCCAACCTTCTCTCTCTCTCTCTCTCTCTCTCTCTCTCTCTCACACACACACACACACACTGCCCCCAGACAAAATTGCACGCTTTCAACTTGAGAGTGCTGGAACGTTTGTCGGCCCATGTGAGCCCAAGTCTACTGTCTTGCGTGGATGTGAGATAGATCTAGGTCAATTAACATCTTGGTAGGTGTATACATTTTTGTTTATATAGACTTTAGGCAATCCTAATGCGTTGTTGCTTAATTGAGAGTTTCTCGTTTTTCCTTACACTGGCGAGCTCTGAGCCAGAGCTCAGTGTAAGGGAAAACGATGAATGGTCGAGCGGTTAAGGATCACTGCTTCGTTTTCCTTCAACTCATAGGAAGGAATGCTTGAAGCAGGCTAAAATATAAAATATGTGTCACAGTCGTCATCACCGGCTTGTACTAAAACCGGCAGTGGACGCTCCGTCTAAACGAAGCTTCAGTGCTGTGAACATAGCCTCAACAGCGCCTGCATACTGCATTCAGGGCGCCATGAACGTAGCCTGCCAACTACGGTCAAGGCGCCGTGAACGTAGCCTGCCAACAACGGTCACGACGGCGTGAACGTAGCGCAGACTGCATTCACAGCGCCATGAACGTAGCTACAAACTAGATCTAGCTAGAGTGCTAGACACTACACACACAGTTTAGGTTTAGGGCTGGATTGATATTTGGTGGACCCCCTGTGTTTACATGTGAACTAATGCGCATTAGCCATTAGCTATAACAACAGTGGTGGAGTTTCAGGGGGGCTAGCCTCCCTGGAAACATCATCGACTCTTACTTTTCCTTTTCCTGGGAAAGGTTTCCAGTTTCAATTTATTACACGCACCCATACAAAAGTCAGCTTTATTAAAGAAAGGCCTTATTAAAAAGTTAAAAGTGGTCGCTCGTTGCTGATGTCTTTTTGAACGTCCTACTGCAAACCAATTTACCTCCATACTGTTGGCCTTAGATCTAGATCCAAACCAAGAGCAAAGTGATCCTTCAGAAAAATTTCTTCGAAGTTCGAACGGCTAGCAGAGAAGTGATAGTAGATTTTCTAGATATTGTTCTTCAACAACATTCAATCCGGAAGGGGCGTAGTAGAGTTATTTTTGCGATGATCACATGCATTGAAAATAGAAAGGTGAAATGGGTCAAAGGTTATTCGGGTTGGATTTGGAAAATTGTAAATTTTAAAACCTGGATCGGGTTGGTAAAAACTGGCATAGACCAAAATGACTAAATTTAGATTCTTTGTAATTATTTCTCAGAATCACGGAATCTGTATTTTAAAAAACAATTTTATAATATTGACTGATTGTAGATAATCACATACTTTAACACTTCTAAGTTAAAGATTTTCAAAGGGATAATACGTTATTTACAAATGATTCCATGCTTGAAATCTTAGACAGCCGCCATATTTATATCGAATAGGCCTAGTTCTCTCCCTTTTCAATTTTCAATGGCGAGCGCGGCCGCCTGGACCTAAATCTACTTCTGACTGGTTACAGGCAGCTAAGTTTAGATCTATATTGTTTTTTTATAAGTTCAATCACCGAGGACGTAAAGGCAGTTCTTTCAAGGTATGTTGGGTGAATATCGTGTCAAGAGCTCTAGATTCTAGTTTGTTAGTGGATTTGGAACGTAGATCTACAAGCCTTTGCAATCGGAGGATGTTCTCAGTCTGACAGTCTGAAGACGAAGAAGTTCAAATTCTACAAATTGTCGATTGAATTGAATCAAATCATATCATGAGGTTTTTTTTTCCAAGTTCAGCTTGCACCTTGCCCATGTCTTTGACTTGTAATGTAAAGCAGTTAGCATGGTACATTCTAGGCCTCTCAATTTTAGAACCCTTTCATTTCAATCATTTCACATTGATTTTTTACTCTCATACGTCATGATGAAAATACACCATGGGATGGTCATGTACAATTGAGTCTTATTTTATTGGCTTAGTTATTCGCACAGGGTGTGTGAATACTATGAAATTTTATTCGCACAGGGTGTGTGAATACTGTGAAATTTTATTCGCACAGGGTGTGTGAATACTTTGAGATGTTATTCGCACAGGGTGTGTGTGAAGAATCGAAAGTTTCGAAGTGATTATTCGGACTCGAGTCCGAATATGAAAAAATGTTATTCGGACTCTGATTCTTGTCCAGCATGACATCACTTCCGACTTCCTGTAACTCGTGAATCCGGCTTCCTGTCCTGCCTCACTCGTGACTCGCCTCAGGCTGGGTAGAGACCGGGATCACTTCGGGCAAAAAGGCGTTTTGTGCAGGAGCCGAGTTTTAATCTTATGATGAATTTGAGGCCGGCCTGAAAAGTTATAGCGCTTCTAATAAATGTTTATTTATCAAGAGGTCATCAGAAGCAATTAAAGTTAAAGATGGCTCGTTAGCATGTGTCGGGGTCGGATGGGCGGCCTGCACACACACGTGTGGCTGTGTGCGTGTCGGGGAGGATGGTGGGGGGGGGGGCACTATCAGCTTTAACGTCGCATAAAAGCGTCGGTCTTTTCCCCCCCCCCGGCAACTGATCATTACAATAATAAGCTAGTCTTGACGTAGATCTATCTACGTAATGAATTGTGCGCTGGTCTATGGAATCAAAAGTTGCCGTATGCTCAGCTCTACTCTACACAGCAACACTACTTTTTCTTGTGGTAAACAATCGATATGACACAGGCTTGTGTATTTGAATGAATCGGTCTTTTTTTTTTTTTACACAGCTCATAATATGCCAGGTGGTCTGCTAATCTTCAATTTTACCTTTTTCTACAACAAAGAAAGTGGGAAACGTGGGGGGGGGGGGGGGGGGGGAGGCGTATCAATGAGGCGGCGGGCATTGGATCGGCAGATAAGGTGTGGGGGAAACTAAAAAATGGCGGAAAATTGGAAGCACTGAACGTTAGATCTATAGAACGAAGACACTTTCTTTTTTCCAGACCCGAGTCCGAATAACATTTTTTTTTATTCGGACTCGAGTCCGAATAACGACGGCCGTGAAGAATACTATGAAATTATATGTGCACAGGTCACAGGGTGTGTGAATCTAGATCTAGATTAGATCTACAAAATATTATTGGCAGGGGCGTTTCAAAAGAAGGATGGAAATTATCTAGGCTAGCATTTCCTCATCCCCCCCCCCCCCCCCTCATTCGTGTAGGGACAAAGATCATGGATAACAAGATAGTTCACTCCTCTTTTTGAATAGATAGATCTAGCCAAATAAAAAAGTGTCCTCAAATAATAGTGCGGACTTTGCAAATAGACCCTGCTTGTGTGAAAAACAATAAAAGTGAAGGCCATCTCTATTCTCACCCCGGTAGTTCGGCTCGATTCGAAAAGTGAAATAGCCATGTAGCATCTTTGTAGTCAATAAAATTAGCTTACTTTTGTGCTACAACGTAATCTTTTCTTTGCCTTTATCCATTTGATCATCCACATCGATAGAAAGTATTCCGAAATTAGGAAAAACAGGTCTTGTTTCACACCGGGTGAGAATAGCCTACGGTGGCAAGTCTCACCCGGGGTGAGAGGTCGATCGTATTTCTGTTCTCACCCCGGGTGAGAATAGCCCCTCTTCCAAAAGTGAAATTAACAGACTGTGTTTATAAATCCTATTCTTCTTCTAGAGAGCTTCAAAACAAAGACTCCAGCGACATCTGAAGCAATGCGCTAACTTCTGCGAACACTTTTCGGGCTGAGTAAACAATCTTACATATCTATCTTTGGTAGGGATAGGTTAGATCTAATTCTAATTGTGCAATGCGATACAAAAAAACAACAACTTCTCAAATAACAAATTGGAATTCAAGTTGTGTATTGTGTCAATGATAATGACTCGAATCTCTTTTTTTTTTCGTTTTTTGTTTTCCTTGCACCTTGAGAGAGAGAGAGATGAGTGAAACAAGTTATACTAGATATAGATCTAGTGTCCAGTTGTTTTAACATTTAAAGCCTTTGCCAAAAGGTGGGATACCGGGGTGTGACAAACGAGGTCCAAAATCAACGTAGGCTCGACCCTGTGCGAATATAATCATTTCTTATTCGCACACCGGGTGTGAATAATTTTCTTATGCACACACCCGGTGTGAATAAAATAAAATCTTATGGGCGCACCCGGTGTGAATAATCACTTCCTATTTTATTAGCCTCAATGTGAATATGAGAGAGGCGGTTCCGGCCAAGGCTAAGGTGTTGACAGTTCACATGATCTAATACAATAATACCTTAAATCTACTAATACAGTGGAACTAATACAGTGGAACTCGGATTCAACGAGATGAGATAGATCTAGAAAAAGAAATCTAGACTAGATATCTCTAGAATCTATTCCCTGTTTGGTTTTTTTTTCTTTAAAATCAATAAAAAATAACCCGGATTCAACGAGCACTTAAATCACAGCGAGCTCGGATTCAACAAGGTCGCTTCCGGGGTGAACAGCCCGCATGTGGCTTCGCTCTCATTTTTCTCACGGAGCAAACTTTCTATTCCCGGAACGGAGTGTCTACGGTAGTCTACGTACACTGTAGTGTAACTGGGCACCAAGTCTCAGTATCTACGTACACGGTAACCGGGCTCCTAGCCTCAGTATCTACGTACACGGTAACCAGAATGAAAATAAATCAATATATTTTATCCTGTGCTGCCATTTGCTGAAAAAAAGAAAGTCATACAAGCGTCTTGTCCAACTCGCCATCGTGACCTGCCTGTCAGTGAATCTGTGCATATGCTTCACATTGTGAGTACCGGTTGGGGTCACCAAAGTTCATTCAAAGTCTGTGCGCTGCGAAGTATAGGGCTCCGGAATGGGGGGAATTGTATTATTGATATTTTTTTTAAAGGTGCTGTCGAGGGAGGGGTGGGGATGGCTACACTGGTAGACACTGAGGCTAGGTGCCCGGTTACCGTGTACGTAGACACTCCGTTCCCAGAAACCTTCCATTGCACCTGCATCGTGACCCATTATTCACTTAGCCGATTGCATACGACCAATCAGTGGTCTTTTTTCTTGCGTTGTTGGCACGCACGTGAGTCGGGGTTGGATGGGCGGTCTGCACACGTGTGACTGACCGTTGAACGTCGCAGATTCTATACCAACGCATCAGTCTTTTTTTTACCCTCGGCAACTGATCATTATTACAATGATAAACTGGTCTTGATGTAGATCTATGTAATGAATTGTGCTCGTGGTCTGTGGAATTAAAAGTTGCCGTATAATGCTAGTCTCTACCCAGCAACTCAGACAATCGAAATGACACAGGCGTGCACATTTGGACGAATCCATCTTTTTTTATACAGCTCATAATAATAATATGCAGGCATTTCAGGCACTACTTGTGACTTGAATTTATAAATTACTTGCTCAGTGCCTCTACACAAAACCTCGTGTTTGCTATAATGAACACTCGGATTCAACTAAATTTTAGGTCAGGCCTGGCGACCTTGTTGAATCCGAGTTCCACTGTACGGCGGGGTGCCTATTGTGGATGAAAACGAACACTTTTGTTTTTAAGTCGACGAGTCGGGCGCGATTATAATTTATGGCTTTGTCAATTGCATCCGAGTAAATTTGAGCTCTTTTGCGTTGGTGAGTAGATCTAGCTTATTGTGTTCGAGTGTGTGTGTGTCTTTTTCTGACCCCCATCCCCTGGATTTATGACTGGTCCCCGATATAAAATGAATTTCTGCTTGAGTTTGTGTGCGTTTGTGACCTTCTACTTCAAGAATTGCCTGTGTTGGTTCTACACCGAAGTGTAGGCTAAGGCTAGCCTAGATCTAGGCCTATGTCTCATTGAAAACACAAGTTGGTACTGTAGGCTCTCTAGAGACTAGATGCTCGTCCAATGAAATTAGTAGAGAACAAATTGACCCATTAGACACACAGTTTGAATAGAAAGCTAAAGATAGTGTTGTTGTCAGACTTGACACCGCTTCACTCGGTGGCAATTGAGGCTGCTGTCAATTATTGTCAATTGCCACCGCTTCTCTCGGTGGCAATTGACACTACCGTAAATTTTTGTCAATTGCCACCGCGTCATTATTAGTTCTATCATTCTGAACTGTCTGTGACTCAAAACTGATTTTGAAGCAATTGTCAAACCTGTATGGTATCTCATTGGTTTTCTGTGATTTAATAATTGCTTTTTTAAAACTAGGCCTCGGTAGCGCGGGAGGTAGCGCGTCAGTCTCATAATCACAACAAAAAAAACCCCAACTAAAATTAAGAATGTAACTTGTAACACGACAATCTTTATGCATGTCCAAAGTGGCATTTTGGGGTCGAAAAGACTTGGGGGGTTTTTCTTGCAAAAAGTAAGGTAACTGCTCAGTTTCCCTTGCCTTGCTGCTCTTCTCAGGGTGAAACTTTCTAGCATTGTTATTTATGTGAAAATAAGTGCAGAAAGTTTTTATAAAGGTATATTATTGACATGAGCCTGTGCCAGAACCTGAGTATTTTTTTTTTTACTATGTGTAATTCTTTTATAGTTGTTTCACATAAGATACACAGGTCATTTTTTGTTCTGCTACTATTTATAATTCACAAGACAGTCACTGCAGTGGTACCCACAGGGAGCACGAGGCAGGGGTAGGCCACGGGAAACATGGAGGAGATGCGTGGAAAGGGATATGAGAGAAATGAAGCTCACTTGGAAGGATGGCTCAGGACAGAGATAAATGGGAGGAGCTTGTATGTGGCCTATACCCTGCCAGGGGTGAAAGGCATTGATGATGATGACTATTTATCTAATGAATGCAGGTCATTCTGTTTTTTAAAAAGAATTCTGAACTAGTGATGAACATTGCAGTGTGTTAACAGTTTATGATTGATGTTCTTTGTTTCAGCACATGCCTGATGAGAGAGCTTGATAAACCTGAAAATGTTTGGTGCCAACAAGTCTGCAGCATTTAGTAGTTTCGGAACCTCAATGTGTAAGTGTGAAAAGCTGGTATAATGTTTTAATTTTAATGTTATTTATGGTTATTTTCTTCCATGGGACCTGTGTTTTTGGTTTCATTTATCCCATATATATCTTATGAGTAATTACACACGTCTAATGTGTAGTTTCAAATTGAATGTTTGAATTTTACTTAAACATGTTTTATTTTAGTAATTAGTTCTTGTTGGAAGTACTTTTTTTTTTTTCTTGCTTTGGGGAAGGTTTTGTCATGTATATATGTAAATCAAATACTTGTTTATACTTTTATATTCTTTTTGCACTTTTTATTGCTTGCTTTAATTTTGTTTCTATTTGGTAGTTACTTTTTCTTGTCTTGTTCTGTTTTTCTCGTGCACACAGCCTCCTTTGGAAACTTTGGCTCATGTGAGTATCATTTGTCTTTCTGTCTCTCTGCACAAGCAGACTTTATGATTGTAGCTTTTCCTTTTTTTTGTAACCCTTCTGCAACAGAACCATAAAACTCTAAAGCTCCTAATTTCTTGTTTATTTCTGTCAATTGCAATTGTTATGTGGTAAAGAGAAGATTCTTTTCACTTCATTTGATTTCAAATCAATTATAATTTCATCTCGGAGAAAAAAGGAAAAAATTTTCTTTACTGAGCCAGAAAATCTACTACTGAATGCAAATGTGTGCAATTTTGTTTGTATTTCAATTAAGGGGAGAAGGCGATGCCGATGCTCAGAATGGAGATTGCTTCTTTTGTAACAACTATACTATAACACCTTATTGGGTGAGGTTTCTTAAGAATTGTTGACAAAGTCGCTCAAGTGCAGCCACCATAGTTATACGCTGAACCTCACATTTTAAGCATTCCCTAGGTGGTGTTTCTAATTTTGGTGAATCAATGAAAGCAAAGAATATATTTAGTCATGTATATTTTTCAAATTGACGTTTCCACGTATATGATATATATCCCCTCCTTCTAGTGAAGCTTCATTTTGAACAGTTTTTTTTCCTTTTCTAGTTTCAAAAGAGAAGAGAGTTTTCTTGAACACTGAATACATTTTTTGGATCTACCACACTGACACATTGTTGGTCTTGTCTGTCTTAATTGATTCTCTTGCATACAGTGAGTCTTTCCAAACCTTGGCGAGTCATCTGAAAGAAAAAATGACATAAAATCTTTCACACAGTGAAGAATCACTCTCACGCTAAAAGGGAGAGAAAGAAGTATGGTGTGATTCTTCTATTTTTACCAGAAATGAACAAAGTGTGAGCATTCTAGTTTTTATATATTTTAATATCTGGATGAGGCTGGTGGATATTAACACCACACCTTTTCTTCACCTTTGTTTTCAACCTTGATGTGAAATGATCAAATGTATTACATTGATTTGACACTTTCGCTTAGCTGTTAATCATCCATGCGTGATCGTCATTTTTGCTAAAGAAAGAGCAATGTTTGTGTTGGATTTTCTTTCTCCGGGAGAAAAATACCTAAACAAAGCATCACTGAGTTTGAGCTGCGAGCTAATTTTTTTGGCCCCAGCTTTCTTACTGCTTTAGGATTTGGTCACACTCACCTGTCAGTTCACACCCCTTTTTTTAATCTCACCCAAACATCTCCATGGACACAAAGGGATAGCTAGCTGATCACTTCAATATTCATATCAATCTTATGCTACCAGTGCTAGGCCTGGACATGAAGTAAAAACCCATGAAAGAAAAATCTCTGCATGTGAGATTAGATTAAATGTTTCTGCAAAATCCTGAACATTACAAGAAGAGACCAGACAGGCAAAGAAATGAAAATGTAGAAGCAACTATTGGCACGGATTCCTGCCTGCATTTCATAGAAAAGAAAAAAAATGAAGTTTGGCCACCTGTTATAAATGTCACTTAGCCAGCCAGCCAACCTCGGGAGCCTATAAACACTAAGTACTCTGTTTATTAAGGAAGAGGTAAGACCACGCTAGAGATGTATTGAGGGAATCAAGGGAACCCTTGGAAACTATAACATCCCAATTGAAAGAGCTGCAGAGTTGGCCTACCATAGAGAACTATATCTCTCCTTGACAACGCTTAAAGGCAACAGAGGATGAGAAAGAAATTTCACGGTATTTTGTTGAGTCCAATGTCATCGGGGAATGTAAGGTTTATTGTACTGGGGTCTGTTCAGTAGTGTCACAGTGTATCTGTTGACACGGTAGACAGTGGTAAGCTTAGATTTTAAAAAATTGTATTCTCTTTATGAACGTTCAAACATGATTGCACCTGGGTTGTTGTTTTTTCTTTAGTACCGCAGTCCCTACTTTTTGTTTCACCCGTTTTGTTTTTGCACAGCTGCTGGAGGATTTGGAAGCGGCAGTACCTTTGGCTCTACGGCCCCTGCCGGCTCTGGCTTGTTTGGCGGGGGTGGGGCCAGCGGGTCGACAGGAGCTACTGGTGGGGGGCTTTTTGGAGGCCAGACCAACACAGGCTTTGGGCAACCGCAGAGCGGTGGAGGCTTTTGTAAGCTTTTAGTTATTATTTTCTGCCATGCCATTAAATTTAATGTGCTTTTTCCCCCCCCCCCCCCCCTCATAATTACTGGAATTTTCATGTTTTGTTTGTACCCGTGTTGTTCGCATCCATGACTTGAATGTTTTTAGAAAATAAAGTGGAAATTTCTGCTGCATCTAGATAGCTTACCTTCTTACATGACCTGTAATAGACTGCATCGGGGTCTCATCATTAAGATTTGAATTGTCTGATGCAGTTTTATTTCTGTCAAGCAGAATTGTACTGATGGGGGGGGGGGGGGGGGGGCTCTTTTTGTTTGTTTGGTGTTTCACCATTTCTCTGATGTTGGTAACCTTTCATTTCTAATGATGTGGATTCACCTTTAAACTGCCCACTTTTATTTTTTTTTAAAACTCAGCAGCCTTTGGAGGAACACCAAACACCTCTGGTGGCCTATTTGGCAGCAACACCAGTCAAGCCAATACAGGTGGAAGCTCCCTGTTTTCTTCACCAGCCACAAGTGGAGGTTTTGGAGGTCAAAAGCCTGCGTTTTCTGGTACAGTGTCTTTGTCATTAAAAAAATTGTTTACAGCCTTATTCCTGTACAATCTGGAATAGGAATCCCTCCTTGAATTGTGGGTGGTTGGTGGTTGGCACTTTTGTTTCCTTTGCTGCTCGTTTTAGTGCTACCTTTGTTCTTTGGGGGTGATTGGAAGGTGCTCTGATGTTGTTTGCTCTTTCTTTCCTATTACCACATCTATCATTCTTGTCTCTCATTCTTAGTGTGTTTGTTTCTCTCTTGTAGTACTTCTAATCTTCGGCACTTATATTATAATCTAAGTGTGCTGCAAGTGGCATAAAATGCTTATTAAAACAAACTTTTGTCCTCTGTTTCTAGGTAAATCTAGCTGCTGGTCAGGATGGATGTTAAGTGCAATCTAGCCATTTCATGTATTGACAGATGTTTAACCTATTCATTTACTTGTATAATGAAATGTCTTAAAGTCCCTTTCGAGATATCTCTCATTTCAGATCTATACTGTGAGCCTGAACTTACACTGGTTTTGAATTGCCTCCATTGTTTTTTCCCTCTCTCCAATCTCGCAAAGGTTTTGGAGGCACCACCAATCAAGCCAGTACTGGGGGTTTGTTTGGTGCCGGCGGCGGTACCACCACAGGCACACCCTCCCTCTTTGGCCAAGCCTCTGCCTCTGGAGCCTTCGGCAATGCCGGGGTGGCGTCAGGTGGCACCACTGTGCCATTCGCCGCCCCCACTGGACAGGACACCATGATGAAGAATGGTGTGACCACCAACATCAACACCAAGCATCAGTGTGTCACTGCGATGAAGGAGTATGAAAGCAAAAGTTTAGAGGTGAGTGGTTCAATTTGTGCATCCGGGTTTTTTGGGGGGGTTTTTTGGTGAAAATATTTGCTTATCCAATAGATTTATTTTCAGTTTGAACTTTTTTTTCTCCCTTTTTGTATTTTGCATCATGAAATAAATTTTTGAAAATGAATTATTTCTATTCAGGAACTGAGAGCAGAGGACTACACAGCTAACCGCAAGTCTAAACAAGCTCCCTCTGCCAGCAGTGGACTTTTTGGACAAACCCCTGCCATGTCAGGAGGGGGCTTTGTCTTTGGGACTGGTGGTGGTGGTCTCGGAGGCAGCAATCTGCAAAGTGGGACAAGCGCAGGTTTTGGGGGTAAGTCATCAACTTCTGTTGACAAAAGACAGCTATTGCCAAAGTGGGTTCACTACAAATTCCTACTCTACTACACCGACTTGTTGCTGGCTCCATCCACTCCTTCTCAATGTGCATTATATTTTTATTTGCTGCCCCGAGAAATGTGGCTGTTTTCGTTCAAATTTTTCAGTTCTTATTACTTACAACTTGTACCAGTAAATTCTTGTAATGTCCTGTGCTTTGCTTGGCAAGATAAATGAAGAGAAGAGGATTTTCGTTCCATTTTTTTTCTTTCCTGAAAAGAATGTCATAAAAATGTTCTGATTACTAGTTTGGTTTTATGCTGAAAGCTCTCCATGTGTGATTTTATGTCAATTTTCAACTGGTGAAGCCGTAACTTTACGCGGGTATTTTATTGTCGGCAAGCTGTTGAATCATATTTTAAGCCCATAACACAAACTATTTTGGGAGGGAAAACAGTTTCATGCCTGTTACAAATTGTAGTACATTATGAATTTCTCTTCCTTTCTTTCTTCATCATTTGGTATCTGAAATATGACCTATTTCTTGAGTACATGCAACCTTTACCACATAATAAAAAATAAATTCATAATTTTTAGCTTTGTACATTTTGATAGCTGGCCGCTGGATCGGAAAAGTAAGGCGATAGCTAGCCAACAACATGCTTTTTGTTACTGTGCTCCTTTCTTTTACAGAGAGTGTGTAATTGTGCATACTGCCGTGGCATTTGAACGTGTTATTGACATCTGCTATTATGTGATTTGCCATTTTTGATTTATTTTTTGTCCTTTTATGTGTAATCTAGATCTATTCTTGGTAAAATGTAAATGTGGCGTTGATTTGAAAGTAACCCATGACTCTACGACATAAGCTGAAGGGAAGGATAAAGTGTGATTTTATTTTTCTTTGATCTCTGTTATATTAAGTTTTTGAATGTGTATTCATTATTTTCTGCGCTCTTCACAGGTTTTGGCAGCACGAGTTCAGCTGCCACCACGCCCTTCAATCAGAACCGGCCTTTGTTTGGCACCAGTACAACAACACAGTCTGGCTTTGGCTTTGGCACCGCCACAGGAACCCAGCAATCCTCTTCGTTGTTTGGAAACACTGCTAGGGTCAGTTATTTCTTCTTTTTTTTTCTCTCTTCCCTCCTTATTTCTCTCTGAAAACTAAAAAGTCTTTGACTCTCTCTTTCTCTTTCTCTCTCTTTCTCTCTCTCTCTCCCTCTCCCTCTCTCTTTCTGTGTCTCTCTTCTCTCTTCCTCCTCTCCTCCCTCCCCTCCCTCCCCCCCCCCCCCCCCCCCCCCCCCCCCCCGGTCAGGTTCAAGAGAGTTGTAACTATTTGGTCGTTGTTTTAAATCCAGTACTTTCTGAAGGATAGTTAATGTTTGAAATGGAAATTTTGTGATTTCGTGGTGCATAATTCTGGATTTTTATTTAATCAAATCTTTCAAGTTTTTATTTTATCTTTATAGTGGTTAATTCTAATGCTTGATTGTGTGACATTGCCTGTAATATGATTTTTGAGTTCGGTGCCCATTCCTGTCTTTGGCGCTTGCCTCTGTAACTCCATGGAGTTTTGCCCAAAATAAGTGAAGTATAGTAATGTTCTCTGCATTTATGTGCTTGGTATATAAGTGCATTCAATGTGATTCTATTGACTAATCAGCAGATGATTTTTACAAGCACTGCTTTTTCGTTACTCTTCTACAAGCACTGCTTTTCCGTTACTCTTCATATTTCTATTTGTTTAATATTTCCTCTTTTTTTTTCATCATTTCAGTCTTAACATGTTTATTGTTCTTGTTTGCGCCTGCTTTATTAGGGATGATCATTTTTTTCACAGCCTTTGTTTGGCGGCACAGCATCCACCCAGCCCTCGCTCACAGGCGGCACATCCTTCTTTGGGGCGTCAGCGGCTGGGACCAGTAACCCTGTGGGATTTGGAGCTAACACCGGAGTGAGTGAATTTGCTTGGTTTTGTTTCTTTGTTTCAGTTTTCTTATATGACGCATATTGTTAAGTGCTGCTGGTTGGTTAGTCTCCTACTTCTTTTCTCTTTGGGGGGGGTTATTTATTTTCCATGTTTTACTTTTTCTTACTTCTTCTCAGCAGTTTGTGATGGCTGTTGTGAGCTTGTGTGTGCTTCTCGTTGATTGGGTGAATATGCCAGTGTTGCATCCTCCATCTTTACTTTCTCCCGCTCATTTCTGTTTGTTTGGCTTGGGTTGTTTTTTATAGGTCAAAGGGATTGATATTGATTGTATTAATTTTTTTGTCCCTGAAATGAATTATGATCTCATTTTTAATTATGGTTTGTCAGTGGAAATGTAAATAATGCAGCAAATAGGGAATTAGCAATACTAGTCTTCATATTTATTAAATAAAATGATGGAGAACAAACCGAGAAGACTTAATAATTAAGTGACTGGGGAAAGCATAAACTGTCCTTTGGAAGCGTACTGTTATAACACAGACAATGTTTGTTCAGTCAATGGTTGAATTAGTTAAACATCTGATTCAAACCATCCTGCGATCAGTATGGATTTGAATTCATGACAACCCTCTCTCTTTTAGAGTTCTATGCATTGGTTGTATTCCATTTTGCTTTTGTCTCTTTGTCTAATCTGTTTTATTAGATGGGTTGCATTTTGTGCATGTAACAAATCTTTTGTCTTTCAGGATTACCAATGTTCTCATTTTTATGTTCCTGGCATCCTCAATTTTTTATGGCATTCTTTTCAGAGCAACCTATTTGGAGCAAAGCCTGGTGGGTTTGGAACTGCCACGACCTCAAGTCTCGGATTTGGTTCAGGGGGTAACATGTTTGCCAAGCCTACAACCACAGCCTCTTCATTTGGCTTTGGAACCAATACAAGCACTTCAGGTTTTGGAGGTATGATTTGAAATAAATGAGCGCTTTTGTAACGTTATGTCTTTCTTTCTCCTACATGAAAGGATTGGTGGCTCCCAAGAATATTTTGTGTAAGAGAGCCTTGTGGAAGTGATGTATGTTATTCTTCTGATTATTGAGCTATATTCAAGTCTTTCAAGATATTTGTTTTGAATAGATAACTCCCCTGGAATTGACTTGGTTCTGTTTGGGGTAAGCATGATATTGATGGAACAAACTTCTATATAAATGATTTACTGTTCCCAGACTTGTTAAAAATCTCTTTTATTACAATTGTTTAAATTGCGGTTGTATGTTGTGGCTCAACTCCATCTGGTTTCCCCAGGCACTTCTGGAGGGTTGTTTGGTATGAAGTCAGGAGGATTTGGTGGTGCTTCTACCGGTCTTGGTAGTGGTACTTCCTTTGGCTTTGGTTCTGGGCTTGGCACTAACTCCACTGCGAGCACATTTGGGACCAACGCTGCTAAGCCTGGATTAGGTGCCTTCAGCTTTGGAACTGGAACTACTGGAACTGCAGGTAACTAATTGAAAAGGTCTATGTAACTACTTTCCAAAACAATTTTTGCTTTTCAGTAATCATTGCATTTCAAACTTCCTAGTTTTGGTCTACCACATCCCTGGGGGAACCAATGGTAATTTAGACACAAACAGGTGAGTTTCAGCCACTATGAATTCATTTGAGCTGTGGGTTAGAAGGAGTTTAAATTATTATAAAGTAGATCAATGACCTTAGAGATTAGTGTCAATGCATCTTTTTGGTGCATGTGGATACGTTCCAGACATTTTATGAGTGAAGCTCCCGATTCAGACTCGGTTGAACTGCCAGAAGTACCCCTTCACTGCGGATCATGACACTGGTGATTACTGCTTGAAATGTTTGATGCCCGATACCTGTCGCTGTAACCCACATAATGTTGCAAGCAGTATTGGCTTTCTTGCCAAGTACCATGATGCCATGCCCTATCTAATTGTCAAGTGTAGTAGTGTCTTGGTAAGTTCAGATGCTTGTTGCAGTAGGGTTTATGGAACTTCAGGCTATTTTGAAGTGACCCTTTTAAAGACACTCTAAGGCCTCTCAGTGGCCCACTTTTTTACTTTAAACATTCATCAAGCTGAGTGTAAAAGTAATCAAATTAGTCTTCTCCGTTATGGAAATGTGACTGGTGGTCAAAAGGTTGAGATTTGTTTCTTTCCTCAGGCTTTGGTAGCACTCTTGGAGGAGCTGCAGGTGCTGGGACCTTCAACCTAGGGGGAGGCGCCACCACGCTGGGAACGTAAGTTTCGCGTGCAGCTCTTTTTTTCTTGTGTATTACAAAGGAACCTCATAATTAATAAGAGTAAGCACGTTGCTGCATATTCTGAGTGTTGTGTCATGCTTGTTTATAGGGATCTACACTACCAGCCAGGTAGCGCAGTCTTGAGTTGTGAGTGCCATAAAACCTCTACTAAAACTTTGAAAAACAGACTCTTGCTTAACCCCTTCACTTCCGGCTATGAACTACATAGCTGTGCCGCGGAAAATTGCTCCAATTACTACAAGCGTCAAATAGAGTCCCTAACTCAGAAACTTAATTGAAATCATTATCATCACTGTTACAGTCATTCATAATTTCGTCTAGACCTTTTGTAGCTAAAAAGGAAGGTTGATAGACTGGTCTGTTGGATGCCATTGCGAAAAGCAAAAAAAAGACAAAAAGTAAACACAACTTAGAACATCAACACTTCACTTCTTCAAAACAATGAAAATTATGCTCAGATTCACGGGAGACTGCAGTAATATCAATGAGGATTCGTCGTGACACAGTTTTGACCCTTTAAACAGTGGAATATTACACTAAAAATTACTTCATCATAGGCCCGCCGAATCAGCGGGCACATGGCACAGAGAAGCTCTTCTTGGCCCGCTGAATCCGTGGTCTTTAGTCTTTCTGTTTTATGACCAAACTGAATTTTTTTTAATGTGCGTGCCGTTTACTTCAATATATTTACTTTTATTCTACTTTATCCAGGTCAACAGCATCTTCTCAAGCCAACAGTACGCAACATCTTCTGGCTTTGGCATCATCTCCATATGGGGACAACCCTTTGTTTTGGAATGTCAAACAGGTACGGTTATCTTCTCCTTCCATATTTACATGTATGTAGGTAGTTTTCTCAAGAGACTTGTTTATTTGTCTGTCGGGTTTACAGTTTCTCATATACGTGACTGGGAACACAGGGGAGGAAAGAAGACATAGATCAAAGTTCTTCTGGAATCATCAACCAAAGACAATCGTCTGACTGAAATTTCTACTACCGCCTCTAGAGTACCAGTACTGTCCAGTACGATTATTTCTATTTCAGGAAAGAAAAAAAAACATTGTGCAAACAAAGGATGGTTGGCGGGTGCTCTGGCCTGGTTTGCTTCTTCTTTCCTATCAAACATCGATCCCCTCCTTCTTTTTTGTTTTTGTTACTCTCTTGTAACCCCTCTAATCTTCGACACTTATATGACCGTATTGTGTTGCAAGTGCCGTAAAACACTTACTAAAAAAAAGAACAAAGGGAAAACCTAACATCTCAGCAATAAGTAATAAGATACTGAGCAGGACGGCCCAGTACATGACAGATACCAGACTTCAAGTGTGATGCGATCGAGAAGAAGCAATAAGATCACAACACGCCATACTGGAGAAAAATGACACATTTGGTTCAATCAATGTGATATTCCACTCTGTGTGAAGCGCTCTGTTTTCGCATCTTTCAAATAGTTGGTGATTACTGGTTGGAGTAACCCATTAATAACCCCATCCATTCAATAAGTAAAGGAAGTAGATCTTGTAAATGAAACTTTATGTGTTTTTTCTATGTTTCTGCTTTATTGTACAAAATGTATGGCACAATAAAACATTGTTCTCTGGTATCAATTTTTTGCCTTGTTTTTCTTGTCATTCACATCAAACATTTAGTTCAATTCATAATGGTTTTATTGATTGAAGGGCCATGCAGTTATGCACAACGTGTCCAAGAATTAAGAGAACTGGTTAATGAATAAATGATCTTCAGTGGATCAGTGATATAAGAAGTTGCATACACGTTTGGAACAAAGTGTACTTTTTCTACTCTACAGCAAAATAAGGAAAAACGGGAAGATGTCCTGAAGCCAACGAACCCAAATGCTCAGAAGGCGGTATTGTCATCTGCCAATCAGTACAAAGTCAGTCCCCGTCCTTCCACAAGAATCAAACCGAAGTCCTTGCACAACCTTATTAATGGAGGAAAGGTAAAGATGTATTCTTTGTCTTCATGTTTGAAATGTGTTACTCCGTCAATACCTGCCCTGTGCTTTGAGTTTTGATCCTGTTCCTTTGTTGAAAGGTTTCTTTCTTCGAAGACAAGTGATATGATGCGAGTGGAGTATAAAAGTGAATGGGTTCTGGGGAACTGAAAGTCATGAGCAGCATGCCTAGGCATTCTGTAAAATCTCTTCTAGTGTAGGGTACAGGTAGTGCTGCCTGTTAATCCATCACCCCCACCCAACTTTCTGTTTTGAGGCAGTGCGTTGTGAAGAGGAGACCACTGTGTTAAAAGTTTATTGATGGACATTAAGACAAGACAAAAAGGAAGATGCATTTCTTGTACAAACTCTGCCTTAGTTATTGCCTCTGCATTGTTCAAATTTAAAATACTCTTTAGATCTGATTTCATAAAGCAACACATATCTTTTCCGTTTCCTTTTTTGCTTTATGTTCTCATTTTTCTTTTCTCTTGTGTGAAGGCTACTGATTACTGCTGTATATTTTTCACATCTTTAATTGCTCCTGTCAGTTTCAATTATGTATTGGAATTGTTTTCTCTACAGCATGAAGAGGAAAAGGTTGAAACGGTGCGGATATTTAACTTTTGACAAGTGTTTTTGTCCTCTGTTGTGACTACATTTAACAATTTCTCACATAGATCTAGATTTGTTCAATGGGAAAACTCGTGCTGTTAATGGAATTTACAGTGTGTTACTATACTTTAGCAATCTGTGTCCATGTCATAAAATTGCTGAGCAACTAAGTGATTGAGAGGTCAGAATATGCCCTTTGTTATAGACAAACTGTGTAAGTTTTAATCTGTGACTACTATTTTCTAACTTTCATCAAACCAGTGGATTCAGCTACGGTCTAATGACCCCCAATTTTCAACTAAAGGAAAGTTTCCTTTTTTAACTGAAAATACACAGAATTCTACCTGGGTTTCAGTCTTGGTGGAGATCTGCCCTCTACAAATAGCTAAGTTGATTGGTCACCCCTTTAGTTTACTTGAAAAATGGACCAAAACACCCTGAAAAACAATGGCAACATTTATATATTAATAGACAAAAATAACAGAGAATCCTTTTTCTTTTTTTCTTTTTTTTAATTTTATTTTTTTTTAAAAGGAAATGATGTGTCTTGTTTGCCATATTTAGTGATGTTGTCCTTGTTCACTGAAGTACATGTACAGTAGTCTCTGCCAAAGATCCTGATGCTTGGCAGCAAGGGAAATGTGGGATCTTAGGCGGAGACAGTTGTATCGAGTGTCCACAAAGTCTATTGTTTTTTAACATGGTATACCATTTTGTGGTTTGGGGGCGTCAAATAGTCCCACCACTCATGAATGAAATGTGTAACATTGTATTGGTAGAATAATGCACATGAACATTTATGCTCTCTCTACTTATTGTTTTTGTCTTCTTCTTTTCTTTGTTTTAACCAATGGCAGAGTGTTGTTTCTTTGAAATCATGACTTATTGTGATAAATGAGGCTTAGCATTAGTTCAAAAAGTAAATGCACATACTGTGCCCCGTACTGAAGGTAAATCTTAAGTTTTTTTATTGCTTCACATCTATTATCTATTTGTGGTGGCCGAATTTTGCTATTCAAAAGGCTTTTTAATGGCTGCATCGATCGACATGCGGTTTTTGCCAAAAGATTCATTAAAATATTCTCCAGATCATGACGCCCTTGGTTTTTTCAGTTTTGGGACAGTTTTGCTTAAAAACACTAAATTTCTTTATTTCGTCGATCGCTTTTGTAGGCCAACACTTCTGTCTCTGTAATTTTAGAAAACCCGGAAGTGATATTTCGCAAGACGCATTTTGTTTTGAGAGTATAGATCTAGACCTAATTTTTTGCATCTCTCAAGATTTATAGCCCAATTCCAGTAGAGTGTAAATATAGTAAGCCAATTACTTCTAGTTGAAATTAAAGCACCGATCATTCCTTTCATCATAAGGGGGCCCAGCTAGTCATATTTAGATATGGTGATATGTGATGTCTGTGCAGCTTATTGGATTCTGGGGGTCATTTTGTTGTTCGTTAAATAAATCAGAATCCTTTAGTTACACCTTGAAGTTACAGAGTTCTTTCGGTAAAATGTTTTTTTATTTTGATGTTTGGGCTGTGCTGTGCATACTGTTGATGTTTTAACTTTTAAGGCCTATATGCGATTGGTTGTCATTTAGAGAGCAAAATGTCAGTATGTTGATTTATTTAATAGAGCAATCTGCAGTGTCATCCCTTATGTTTCTTGATCAACTAAGCAGGTGGTTGGTAAGGGGGTCTTCTCCTTCTGCTTTTTTCAGTGTTATGCATTTCACTAATTGTCCTGATTTGTTCCTATTTATTGAAATTGGGCTGGTATCGTGCTGATTCTCTGTAAACTCCAATAGTAATACAGCTGTACTTTCTTGGTCATGAAAATTTAGTTCAGAGGCCTTGAGTCAGCTCTTGATTTAGGTATACTGGCCGAAGATTTTGCATGCCTTGCCTTTAAATGCTCTAAAACAAAGCCTTTTTTTTTTTTTTATGAAGAAAAATACAAAATTTGGTACCAAAAAATGATTATTCATTTTCGTCAATCCACAGACGCAGCTTTTTGAAGGACTTGAGGAAGAAGATTTCAGTTTTGGTGATGACACGTTTGTGCCTCGCAAGAGTGTCAAGAAGCTCGTTTTGCGTAAAGGCGCTGGCAACAAGTCCACATCGGCCTCCAGCTCATTCTACAGTGACACAGCAGGGGACAACACTCTCCAGTTCAACGGCAACAGCAATCGCAGCAATCAGATGCCCTCGCTTATCACAAAGTGAGTTGATTTCACGAATATATAATTGTTTTGTTGTTATATGCTGTCTGCACTTGTTCAACTCTGACATGTTCATTCAATAGACTTTTCAAAGATTTGTAATGTTGCCTGAAGTGACCTTCAAAAAATTCATTGGAGTTGTTTCCTCTTCCCAGCATGCTCTGTCTAGAAAAATTGATCATTGAGTTGAAAGAATTTAAAAAACTTCAGAGTTATTTGCTTATTTTTCTAACCAGTTACATTTTTGAAGAAAACTTGATATGTAGGTGAGGGGGCTCTGCGTATTGTAAGTTACTTTACTTTCTTTGTCAGATTTATTTAGTTTTGAGAGTTTCATTGAAACATAATATCTTGAACAGAATATTAAGCTGCTTTTGCTAATAACTAATAATGATTGGATGGTTGTGTGGTTTATATCCTGCAGTAGTTAACCTTATTGCTTGACAAGCCTGGCAAGACTTTAAGATTTAAACCCAAATCTATTTGTCTGTAGTAATTAACTACATTTCTACACATATTTGTTGTTTAAATGACCTTGTTGTAGAGGAGTTGGGTGGTTTTAATGCTTGTTATTGTAGACTCTTCTTAACCTATTGTCAAACTCCTGGTATTTCATCGTTTCTTTTGCAGGCCTCTAAGCCCCTCTGAGAGAGTAGACACAACAATTGAGAATGAAGCAGAGGCCATTGTGCATGATCAAGACAGGACTCCGGTTCATAGATCCCCTCCTAAGTATGTTTCTGTTGGTGTTTAGCAGCACTTGAAATCTTTTAGGCTGTTTTCAAGTCTTTCTTTTGATTTCTATGATTTTATTTTTGTCGGGTCAGATGGATAGGTTGTGACCTTTCTAGTATAGTCTGCTCTTCACACATCTTGTTTTCACCCTGTTAGTTGTCTTAGCCTGTTGTTTTAACCCGTTTTCTCTGAGAGGCCAGTGACACCAGACAACGAGCTGGTCCTATTTTGCAGGATGGCCGGTGTCATCCGTTGATGAAATTGCCATAGTTATTGTCTCTCTGTCGCCGTGCCTCCCCCCCCCCCCCCCCCCCCAAAAGAAACCCTGATGGAAAAAACAACTCTAAAAATGTGTAAATATTCAACGTATGATTAAAATTCTATAATTTGACGTTGGTTTTCTTTGATTGGGGGGGGGGGGGGGGGGTTAATTGTTTAATTGGTTTCCTGATTGCTTGACTGTCTCTAAAGAGCAGTATTATCAACTGTATCATTTTAGTATGTTGCTGTGTGTTGGCGATTTTGAAGCTCAGCTGATTGCGCAAAAAAGGCTATAACTTTGTAAATAATTGATGTTTTACAATACAATGTAACATGCGCATTAATCACAGCTTGAAAAAAATAGTTCCTTGGTAGTTATTTTTAATATGGTAGTGGTTGAGGTGGGGATGGGGATGTTCCGGGTCTTCCTATTTGTTTCAAATTCTGTATACTGGCTCGGGCCATCTTCACTATCGTTCCTCATTATGCTTCTCTCTTTATTCTTCCCTCTCACTCAGAATATCATCTCTTGAAGACAGCATCGTTGCTCTGAACCAGAAGGGACCAGCCGTAGCAATCAACACAAGTCGCACTCCAGAGGCCAACAACCGGCTTGGTGCAGCGGACACGACCTCTTTCCTGGATACCTCAGATCTTGACGGGAGCTGTTGGGTAGGTTGGATATAATGTAGCTCTTTTTTTATTGTCTTTTTTGACTGCTCTGGGTAAGACTCCGCCCTATGTCAGTTTTCATGATGGTGTATAGGGGAGTCTATCTCGGAGAAGTCAATTTGCTTTTGCGAAGAAAATCCCTCTCTTTTTTTTTTCAGCTGTATTTGCATTCATTGCCAATCCTTCTGTAAACCTGGCTTCTTTTGTTGTAAAAGGAAATGCAGGTCTAGTCTAGTGTTTTTCTTTTGTTAGACTGTCAGTTGGTTTTTTGTTTGTTTTTCTAGTATTTGTACAGTGAAAATGTTAACAAGAGAAATATAAAAATGTTTTAAAGTGTTATAGGCCATCTCATAATTTTATACGCTAGTGTTCTCTCAATGTTTTCCTGAATTCAGTTGGAAAAGAATTTTTCGAGGGAGTAATTAGTACTCATGCAAGTACTGTGTAAGAGCAAAGAGTCCACATAACAAGAGGGGCCACTTCTCTCTTTGAGCCAATTTTAAAAAGTGTCCTCAAAATTCGGTGGCGCCCTCTTCACAAATGCGCACCCTTTGCAAACAGTTACCCTACTTGAGTTTAAAAAATCAAAGTGAAACTAGTAAGTTTTCAAATAAATTTCGAAAGAACGCTTTTTTAAAATGGTTACGCTGACAAGAAACCTCTTCCGGAGGAAAGGGTGATTGTTTTCTTCGTTTAATTTGACTTTAGAATGAAAGGCGAGAGGTCATTAAAATTTTTAAAAACCTAAAACTCCGCACTTAACGAACCCGAACTGCTGATGAACTGCAGTCGATCTGCAGACGCAAGGAGGTGCTATCCCTATTCTTCTTCTGGGAAAACGAAAGAGAGCTTCAAAACAGACTGCAGCGCCATCTGAAGCATAGAGCGAACTTCCTGCGGGCACTTTTTTGGCTGAGTGGCCCATCTTGTTATGTACTATCTTTGGTAAGAGTTTTTACTCTAGGCTTTTGATCACTCAGGTTGTGGACAGCAGCTCCCCTCACCCAACTGGCGTGGTTCTGACGCGGCCCGGCTACTACACGATCCCGAGCCTGGATGAGATGATTGACCTCATGGACGAGAACGGCAATGTGTTTGTGGAGGACTTCACCGTAGGCCGTGTCGGTTTCGGCAACGTATTCTTCCCTGGTACCACAAACGTCGCTGGCATGAACCTGGATGATACTGGTGAGGACAAACAGCAATTGCTGGGTTGTTTTGTTTTGGGTTTTTTTGTTGGTCCCCCCTCCCCCTCATTGTGTATTTGTGGGGTTGTTGTTTTTTCATGGAGAGAGTGATGCCTTCTTAGTTGGTGGGTGAGTATGGGTTCAACTCACTTCAGATGGTTCACACAACAGTTGCGTGACCCCCGCCGTGACGGTTCCCACAAGCCCTGCGTGACCAACTTTGGAATTTTTTTTCCGCTCTACAAATCACTCGCAGATCACGTGACCCGCTTCGTACCCTTGTTTAGCCAGGCAACACCTCTAATCTTCTGGCGCTCATATGACCTTATGCAGTTGCGAGCGCTGTAAAACCTCTACTAAAACTAAAACTTGTTTGTTTTGCAAATGCCGTAAAACTCTTATTATTGCTAAAATTAAAAATGAATCGATTTAGCTGCTCTCACATTTTTTGGTACGTTGTTACCACTAGTCTGCTCCTTGGTGATGTGTACATCACACTCTCTTAAAACCACAACCCTTGTTCTTTGCTAATGCTCACATACTTTTACATCTTTTTGTGCTTTTTGTTTTTTTCCCCAGTGCATTTCCGACGCAAAGAAGTTGTTGTCTACCCAGATGATGACAAGAAGCCTCCTCTGGGTGAAGGTCTCAACAAGAAAGCAGAGGTCACACTGGACTGTGTGTGGCCCACCGACAAGTCGACACGCACTCCCATCAAGGTATGAATGAGTACGGCCACTGCTTTTTGTCAGTTTAGATACCTCTTTATCACTTTGCTGCCTCATCTCTCCTATTGGCGATGTTTACCACCCAGTTTCTTTGGATTTTCCCCAAAATATGATGGTAAAAAGTTGAACAATTGCAGCGGAGAGATATGCATGGGTAAAACGAAGAAAGAAATGCCCAAGTAAAGCAAATTGGGAGACTCCTCAGACAAAACCTTTCGTTTCATGGTATGTCTATGCGGATATAGTCTGCTGGAAAGTTGAAAAAATATTATTAATCTTTATTGGTTCCCTGCTGTGCCCTCTGATTATTGCTGTTGCGGTCGCAATTTTAAAATATTTTTTTAGGTTTTAGGGATGACGGAGAAGATAAATGTCAAAATTTTCCATTGTAAAGATTGGAGGTATATTTTTACATGAAACCTAATTTTTTTTGTCTTGATGTTTGTCTTGCAGAGTCCAGAAAGACTAAAAGTACTGAGCTATGCGGATAAAATTGAAGAAACAACTGCCAAAATTGGTGCAAAGTTCATCGACTACAGACCAGAAACAGGATCTTGGGTTTTCCAGGTAAGTTTAACTTATTTTTTCTTCATTAGTCCTGTAAATGGGATTACGATTACCAACACACCATCCAGCACAACGAGCCTACATCCAAAAATTCGATGGCAACAAGGCTAGAGGGCGACCGAGAAAGACCTGGATAGATGGGGTCAGGGAAACATTAACCACCCACGGCATCCCCCTGGCCCAAGCTCTCCGGCTGGCGACAGAGAGACGTCTCTTTCTTTCCGCGAAACCCAAAAGGGTATAAGCAGCGGGTAAAAGTAAATTAAAGATGGGTGAATGCTAACTCACAAATGTGTCCCTGCCGGTCAATATCAGTCATATGAAGGAAATTTCAAAACTGAGTTAACATTATTTTAAAAAACTATCACCTTTTCCCTCCACACGGCGTCACTTTTCGCCCGATTCTGTTACTTTTAGTTCGCGTGACTCAGCAGCCCGCCAGAGCTCCCCGGCTCGGGGTCACCGGGTTAATGAGCCCTGAGGCGACTTTGCCGGTGTCGGTCGGGAAGTTCGCATTTTAGACTATGTTTAAAACGATATAACTTCTTCCCCATCCCACACAGCAAACCATTACGCGGATGTACTAAAAGCTCAAAGTCTTGAGGTTTATTCTGCGTTAGAATGGTTAGTTTCTTTGCCTTAGTTTTTGTTCTAGACAGGTGTTTGTAGAGTACCCAATTTGTCCTATTTTAGTTACAAAGTTATGAATAAATGATTGTTATTTTAAAAAATGCACGACAGATCTCTCCAAATTTTGTGTTAAACTGACTACGAATATCATTTCTTTTACCATGAGAAATCTTAAATCTGCGCTAGTAGTAATAGTCAAGTTATAAGAGAAGAAAGATGCACATCTGCATACTTTAACTAAAGACGATCAGCATTTGCTCTTATTTTACTATTAAACAAGAGAAAGTTACTCTGTGTTTGTTCATGAATCATGCTGTGTCTGTGGCAGCCTGCATACAACTAAAAAGATATAATATAAGCGATTTAAAAAACCACAAAACCGTGTAAATACATGGGTAGAGATAAAACTTCTAGTATGGAATAAAAATAATGACAGCTAAAACATTCATTCTTAGTTTTTGTGTAGGAAATATGCGCGGACACAATTATGAATGTAAAGAAATCAGTCACGTTGTCAGTTATTGCAAATGGTCATAGAAACGTAAAAAAAATCTGCAAAAGTCTGGTGGTGATTCAGTGTCCCTGGAAAGCTAGAAATTATTCTTATAACCCAATTACGAGAAGTCATCCTTATTATTCAGTCAACTTACAAAACCTAGACTTAGCGTTTTAAGAAAAGTAAGCAATTTCTGGAGTGTAACAGATACTGTTCGTGTATTAGATCTACGTTGAAGATATATTCTAGCACTAAAATCAATTTGTACTTTTCATTAAGAAACTTCATGATAACTTTTATAAACTTTAGGTGAAAATATGCAAATATTCATGATTATATTAGACACATAAAGTTGTATTTGGAGGAATTACTTCGTAGCGAATTGTGTGCCCGATGGATAAAATTGCAAAATTACAGCCTTCTATAATAAGCGCAGATACCATCTTTTCTAAGTATCTGCACTAATGTTATGTCGTTCATATTCCAAAAGTTCGACAGATTTTGACGATGCGTTTTTTTTATATTGATTTTTTTTCATTCATGCTAGTCCCAAAAAAATTACAATTTAGCATTGCCGACTCCAGCGCGTCTAAAGAATTAACCAGACAAGTTACAATGTCCATTCTTTTTTGAGTCTCAAGAGCAGAAATGCGTGCTTTGGGTGCACTAAATGAGAATTACCATAAATACAAGGATACACCTTAAATTGTACGTTGAAAAGTACCAAAAATTAAGTCGGCCCAGACAGAGCGGCGACAGGGAGCTGACCCCCGTGACCCCGACGTGATAAGGCGCCCGGCGGGGAACCCCCCGCGGCAACTAAAATTCCACTGCCGGTGCGCCGTGTCCAATTTAAAACAAGAATGAAGTAAATATGACCATATTTGACGAAAATACAGAACTCTTAAGGGTGCGCGGTGAGGAAACTCGAAAAGGAGAAAATGGCCTCCGAATTTGAGCAACATGTTTCCATAGCAATGGAGAGATAGAGACTTGAAATTTAGCAGTTATCTTGGCGATGCCACTACAAGGTAACATACAAAAGTAAAAAACTATTCATTCACAGAGAAAGAACTTATGGACCAAACAAAATTCTAACGAGAATGGACTTCACATCAAACGCAACAAAATGTTAGCATAATACTAGGTACCAGACACTAAATTTTCAAAGTAGCTGTATATCAAATTCATCTGTTTCACACGAAGAGCCTAGTGTCTCCTGAGAATTTTGGTACCATACTTTTACCTTTCAGTCAATGTTTAAGAGAATGGCAGCTGTTTCAATTTAGCATAATAATATAATATTACTGAAGTCGTTTACTGGCTGCAACCGCATGTTTGACAGATAGTAAAAGAGTAATGGTTCTAAAAATAATCTTACAGCTGCACACTAGCAAGGTCCAAATTCCTTTATATCGTCCCCCAAGCTCACAACAAACCACACACACCTCCAAAATAAATCAAAATAAAATATTTATAGTCGATTATAGTTGTTTATTTTTATCTTAAATGAAGCAGAAGACATCAAAGTTTCAATATATCAAAAAAAACCAAAAATTTCATGGAAAGTCACTTTTTTGCTTTCGAGCCTCGTAGCGGATAATAGTACAGTGCGTCTTACAACTGATATTGAGCGGGGCAGACAGATATGTGGTCTTAATTTTGTGACACCCTGACTCATAGTGCGGGTCCACATTTAGTGCTTTCAGTTTAGTGGGAAATGCCAAACCTTTACTTTTCTGTTTCATTCCTCTGCTATTTTACTAGTACTCTTAGTGGGAGTATTAGAACTGTAATTGCAATTGATTTGTGTGTGACACGTCTCACAGGGTCGACTTTTTATGATGGAAGTTGAACAAATGAGGGACTATTGTTGGCGAAGAATGTGAATGGGAAATGGTTATGCTTAACTCTAGTCCTGCGGGGTTAACCGGAAGAGGCTCTTATCAATCGATAACCCATTTACGTCGCCCGCGAGCTTGTGCCGCGGGGCGCCAGGGTCAGACACCGATTACGCGAGCGTGCCGCAGCAGGTCAGGGAAAAACCTCATCTTTTACAGCAAACTGATACGATCAATGAATAAGTGTTACGATCACACGAATAATCCCATTATCTCCTCGCCGGTTGATCAGAGACGCTGAGATTGGAAGTTACACCAAATCGAACAACTTTTCCAGAGTTTTCCAGATTTCACACCTATTATGAATGAACTTGCGAACAGCTGGCTGCTTATCAGCTATCTTTCGAAAGAGGAAGAAAATGGGATAATTTCCTAATATTTTTTATATTCGGTTGCTCTCAAATTTCTCCCTCTGGTAGGACAATGGTTCAAAAACCACCAAATATGATTATTTACATCAGGAAATAACGTTTGGTGTAAGAATTAGATCGTTTGAAAAGTGAGGAAAGGTGTTTGCATTGAAAGATGAAAGTCATATTTCCTGAATATCCTTTCGAGTCCCTCAAGTGTCTAACTGGGTCAAAATGCTCATATTTCATAGAATGAACGTCTCAACCGACGCTCTGTTATCTCTACCAACACCTCACGTTGCAAAACAATGCAGTAAGTTCCAGATGGACACACAGTCACAAGCAGACTGACCCACACACATTTTAGCACACAGATGCAGACCCCGCCCTAAACGAAATGCGTTGCCCGCGCAGGACGACGACTGATCAGGGACCAACTGTGGAGCGCTGCGCGGGATTGCGCTTATCGGGCAAACATTTATCAGGGACCAGAATCTTAAGGGTTAATAAACAACCCAAAATGTTGTGATCCTTTCAGTAATAAATTGTGACTTGTCTATGCTCCCAGGTGAACCACTTCTCCAAATACGGGCTGCTGGACGACTCGGATGAAGATGAGCTCACTGAGCAACAGAAAAAGCTGCTGGCCGGTCAGCACGTGAAGGAAGTCATCCTTGTACAGGTCAGTCCCGAAAGTTTGGGTCTTGTTCTTGTCAGACTTGTTCATAATAAGAGGGGGGGGGGGTTTTGGGGGGGGGGGTGTGGGTGGATGGCGGGTGCTCTGGTGTGGTTTGCTTCTTCCCTATGAAACATCTATCGTCCTTATCTCCTTTTCTTCTTTTTTATGTTTGTTACTCTCTTGTACACCTCTAATCTTCTGCCACTCATTTACCTTATGCAGTTGCGAGCGCCGTAAAACCTCTACTTTTTCTAATAAAGGTATAGTATAGTGTGTGTTCTGCTTCAAAGTGAAAGCTCTTTTAAAGAAGAAACAAAAGCCATCTTTTTTAACTTCTGCTCCGCTTTCTTTGGTTTTTGTTTTTGGGAGGGGTATGTTTGCTTTATGCTTAATGTCAATTGGGATGTTCAAGCTTCAATCTTCCCATCCCGTGGGTGGTTGACAGGTGCCATGGAGTGAACTTCATCTACTTGTCCTTAATATTTGTATTTTTCTGTTTTTGTTTCTGGGTGATGAATGGCGAAACTGACATCCCAGTGGCTGGTCAGTTTTTTTAAAACATTATTTAAGCAAATCTATGTATTTATGTGAATCTGACTTTCAATCTGGTCACACTTTCAAATTTTTCTATATGTTGAAAGATACTGAATGTTTACAAGTTAATTTCAATTATTTATCAGTGTGAATTGATGAATGATCTTGAAAGTCTTTAGGTCTTAATTTTGGCTTTGTGTACGTTTTTATGCCCAAAAAAAAAAAAAGAAACTGAAGATCCAAGCCCAGCAACAGCTTCAGCAGAAAGAACTGGCCAAGAAAGGGAAGTTAGCTGCTGATCAAGGCCTGACCCCTGAAGGCATGCAGGTATGTATTTGAGCTGTGGTGTTTTCTATTGCCCAATAAGTATTCGTTCCCCGAACTGTGACTGTTTTGTGTCTTTTAAGGCCAGGTTTTTTTTTTACTTTTTACTTTCCTTTCCCCTTGTTGTTGGATTTAGGATCTTTATTCAAGATCAAAAGACAGAGGATTATGTTTTATTTAAAAGGCTGGGTCATTATTACTCAACTTAATGAACTTTGCATGTCACGTGGAGTGGCAAATATGAAAGTTAAAATGTTTAGTATGAAATGCAAATGTTGGAAAAAGCATAAAAATTAACTGCTCTCATGTTTAGACTTGTTTTTTGTGGGGGGGGTTTTTAACTTTGAATGTTTTATGATCATTTTGAAAAGTTTTGTAAAGAATTTTCTTTAAAAGATGTAATGTGCTTAATTCTAAAATGTTGTGTTCAAACATTATTTTGCAGGAGGCTGCGCAGAGGGAGAAAGAAGAGGAGATGCAGAGAGAGGAATATGAGGAGGAGGACGGTCTAGAGGAAGAAGATAGTTATGATATGTTGGACGCTGAGGATATGCAGCTTAAAAAACGTTTTCAGGATGAAGGTACTTTGCCGGTTTTGTTTTTGTTTGTGTGATTTTAATATATATTGTATATAGTCGTTTGTGCAACATTCAGATTTAAAGAGTGGTGAGTGGGCGTTTTGGAGTGATCTATTCCCACTTCTCTTCCTTGTCACAGGTTGGTGTTAAGTTTTCTGTCTTTTGGTGAAGTTGTTGCTATTGTTAATCAAGCCCGCCCGCTTTTACAACAACTCAAACACAGCAACATTTCCCAATATTTTTTTGTGGGAGGTTGACGGGTGCTCTGGTGTGGTTTGCTTCTTCCCTATGAAACATCTATCGTCCTTATCTCCTTTTCTTCTTTTTTATGTTTGTTACTCTCTTGTACACCTCTAATCTTCTGCCACTCATTTACCTTATGCAGTTGCGAGCGCCGTAAAACCTCTACTTTTTCTAATAAAGGTATAGTATAGTGTGTGTTCTGCTTCAAAGTGAAAGCTCTTTTAAAGAAGAAACAAAAGCCATCTTTTTTAACTTCTGCTCCGCTTTCTTTGGTTTTTGTTTTTGGGAGGGGTATGTTTGCTTTATGCTTAATGTCTATTGGGATGTTCAAGCTTCAATCTTCCCATCCCGTGGGTGGTTGACAGGTGCCATGGAGTGAACTTCATCTACTTGTCCTTAATATTTGTATTTTTCTGTTTTTGTTTCTGGGTGATGAATGGCGAAACTGACATCCCAGTGGCTAGTCAGTTTTTTTAAAACATTATTTAAGAAAATCTATGTATTTATGTGAATCTGACTTTCAATCTGGTCACACTTTCAAATTTTTCTATATGTTGAAAGATACTGAATGTTTACAAGTTAATTTCAATTATTTATCAGTGTGAATTGATGAATGATCTTGAAAGTCTTTAGGTCTTAATTTTGGCTTTGTGTACGTTTTTATGCCCCCCCAAAAAAAAAAGAAACTGAAGATCCAAGCCCAGCAACAGCTTCAGCAGAAAGAACTGGCCAAGAAAGGGAAGTTAGCTGCTGATCAAGGCCTGACCCCTGAAGGCATGCAGGTATGTATTTGAGCTGTGGTGTTTTCTATTGCCCAATAAGTATTCGTTCCCCGAACTGTAACTGTTTTGTGTCTTTTAAGGCCAGGTTTTTTTAATACTTTTTACTTTCCTTTCCCCTTGTTGTTGGATTTAGGATCTTTATTCAAGATCAAAAGACAGAGGATTATGTTTTATTTAAAAGGCTGGGTCATTATTACTCAACTTAATGAACTTTGCATGTCACGTGGAGTGGCAAATATGAAAGTTAAAATGTTTAGTATGAAATGCAAATGTTGGAAAAAGCATAAAAATTAACTGCTCTCATGTTTAGACTTGTTTTTTGTGGGGGGGGGGTTTAACTTTGAATGTTTTATGATCATTTTGAAAAGTTTTGTAAAGAATTTTCTTTAAAAGATGTAATGTGCTTAATTCTAAAATGTTGTGTTCAAACATTATTTTGCAGGAGGCTGCGCAGAGGGAGAAAGAAGAGGAGATGCAGAGAGAGGAATATGAGGAGGAGGACGGTCTAGAGGAAGAAGATAGTTATGATATGTTGGACGCTGAGGATATGCAGCTTAAAAAACGTTTTCAGGATGAAGGTACTTTGCCGGTTTTGTTTTTGTTTGTGTGATTTTAATATATATTGTATATAGTCGTTTGTGCAACATTCAGATTTAAAGAGTGGTGAGTGGGCGTTTTGGAGTGATCTATTCCCACTTCTCTTCCTTGTCACAGGTTGGTGTTAAGTTTTCTGTCTTTTGGTGAAGTTGTTGCTATTGTTAATCAAGCCCGCCCGCTTTTACAACAACTCAAACACAGCAACATTTCCCAATATTTTTTTGTGGGAGGTTGACGGGTGCTCTGCACGGCGTCACTTTTCGCCCGATTCTGTTACTTTTAGTTCGCGTGACTCAGCAGCCCGCCGGAGCTCCCCAGCTCGGGGTCACAGGGTTAATGAGCCCTGAGGCGACTTTGCCGGTGTCGGTCGGGAAGTTCGCATTTTTGACTATGTTTAAAACGATATAACTTCTTCCCCATCTCACACAGCAAACCATTACGCAAATGTACTAAAAGCTCAATGTCTTGAGATTTATTCTGCGTTAGAATGGTTAGTTTCTGTGCCTTAGTTTTTGTTCTAGACAAGTGTTTGTAGAGTACCCAATTTGTCCTATTTTAGTTACAAAGTTATGAATGAATGATTGTTATTTTAAAAAAGGCACGACAGATCTCTCCAAATTCTGTGTTAAACTGACTACGAATATCATGTCTTTTACCATGAGAAATTTTTAATCTGCGGTAGTAGTAATAGTCAAGTTATAAGAGAAGAACATCTGCATATTTTAACTAAAGACGATCAGCGTTAGCTCTTATTTTACTATTAAACAAGAGAAAGTTACTCTGCGTTTGTTCATGAGTCATGCTGTGTCTGTGGCAGCCTGCATACAATTAAAAAGATATAATATAAGCGATTTAAAAAACCACAAAACCGTGTAAATACATGGGTAGAGATAAACTTCTAGTATGGAATAAAAATAATGACAGCTAAAACATTCATTCTTAGTTTTTGGGTAGGAAATATGCGCGGACACAATTATGAATGTAAAGAATTAAGTCACATTGTCAGTTATTGCAAATGGTTATAGAAACGTAAAAAAAGCTGGAAAAGTCTGGTGCTGATTCAGTGTCCCTGGAAAGCTAGAAATTATTCTTATAACCCAATTACGAGAAGTCATCCCTATTATTCAGTCCACTTACAAAACCTAGACTTAGCGTTTTAAGAAGCAATTTCTGGAGTGTAACAGATACTGTTCGTGTATTAGATCTACGTTGAAGATATATTCTAGCACTAAAATCGATATGTACTTTTCATTGAGAAACTTCATGATAACTTTTATAAACTTTCGAGAAAATATGCGAATATTCATGATTATATTAGACACATAAAGTTGTATTTGGAGGAATTACTTCGTAGCGAATTGTGTGCCCGATGGATAAAATTGCAAAATTACAGCCTTCTATTATAAGCGCAGATACCATCTTTTCTAAGTATCTGCACTAATGTTATGTCGTTCATATTCCAAAAGTTCGACAGATTTTGACGATGCGTTTTTTTTTATATTGATTTTTTTTTCATTCACGCTAGTCCCAAAAAAATTACAATTTAGCATTGCCGACTCCAGCGCGTCTAACGAAATAACCAGGCAAGTTACAACGTCCGTTCTTTTTTGAGTCTCAAGAGCAGAAATGCGGGCTTTGGGTGCACTAAATGAGAGTTACCATAAATACAAGGATGCACCTTAAATTGTACGTTGAAAAGTACCAAAAATTAAGTCGGCCCAGACAGAGCGGCGACAGGGAGCTGACCCCCGTGACCCCGACGTGATAAGGCGCCCCGCGGCAACTAAAATTCCATTGCCGGTGCGCCGTGTCTGGTGTGTTTTGCTTCTTCATTCCTATCAAACATCTATCGTCCTTATCCTCCCTCCTTCTTTTTTTATTTTTGTTACTCTCTTGTAACGCCTCTAATCTTCTGGCGCTCAAATGGCCTTATGCAGTTGCGAGCACCGTAAAACCTCCACTAAAACTTTAAAATCTTTTTTTTTTGTCCTGCAGGAATGGACACGAGTGTGGACTCCAAGTACCTGGCAACTTCCATGGGGGTCAGTGCCCGCACCATCCAGGGCATGAAGGCGTCCTTCTTCGGAGACGATGGCCTGGGAGGCATGCCAGGTGACTGCTCACTCACAGATATATATATGTCCCTGCCCACCCGCAGCCTCAGCCTCATGGCTTTCTGCGCCAGTAGTGATATCTTGTCAAATTGTTTTCCCAGTTATTGTTTACTGACAGCAGCAGAAGGGTTAATGCCCATGGCATGTGTATTTTCCTTTACCTTATTATTCTCTGACATTGTGAGGGGGCTCCACCAGGGGTGTGCTTTCCTTGTTAGGGAGGTGGGGGGGGGGGAATTTCTTTCTTTCAGGAAGATAAGTTTTGCATACTAAAAGTCGAAGTTTACTTACTTTCCAGTTTATCAGCAAAAAACGTTTTTAAAAAAACACAAATTTAGTTGTTTATATTGGTGCTCACACATAGGTTCCATTAATTGTAGCTGTACAGAGAAGAAAGAACTGTGATGTGTTGTCAAGAATTCATATTTGACTACTTGGAATTTTCCAGATGTTGATTCTGTGCGTGTCATATTGCAGTTGTCTAGCCTAGGTGTTTTTATACAACCTAATGATTGTCTTCATGTCTGAAATGTTTTATTTTTTAAATGATGCTTCCAAAGAGAATAAAATAAGAATATATAGCATAGGTTTTGTTTTTGTTACTTTGTCTATGTTCCTATTATTCCACTGGATTTTAGTTTTTTGTTTTTCACTTGTGTTTTTGCAAATAGTTTCTGTTGGAGGGGGTTCCTAAATTGTGATTCTCCAACTTGTGATATTGAGTGTGTTGTACTTTTTATATTTTTTGTTCTGTTGTCAGTGTTGACTTTTTAGTGCTCTATTAATTATTATTAATGCTTTTTTTTTTTTTTTTTTGAGTGAGTGACACCAAATTTTTTGTTGTTGATTTTAAGTGGGTGGTTGGTGGGTGCTCTGGTGTGGTTTGCTCCTTCTTTCCTATCAAACATCCATTTTCCTTATCTCCCCTGTTTCTTTTTTTATGTTTGTACTCTCTTGTGACACCTCTAATCTTCTGGCGCTCATATGACCTTATGCAGTTGCGAGCACCGTAAAGTCTCTACTAAAACTTAAAAAGTTGATTTCTAGTTCATGGTGGTGATACAGTTTTGCAAAAGACTGAAGACAATTGCTGTTGTGTCACATGTATTAGTTTTGTTGTTGTTTCTGAGAAAAAAAGATATTCAGATGTATAATAGAAATTGTTTGTGCTTTTGTCAGATTTACAAATAAAAGAAGAAGAGAGTGAGGGAGAGTATGAGTCTAAGAGGCGAGACAAAATGAAGTGTGTAAAATGTACACCTGTATATTGTATATTTGACATGTTTAAAAGATTATTTTTTTAAAACTTGCGTATAAGTCATCATGAATTATTTTTTTAAATTTTTTAATTGAAAACTTTCTTGTAATTAAAATAAAAAATCATTTGTAGTTACAGTTCTGTTTAATTTTTTTCTGCACAACATTGTGTTTTACAAAGTTCAAGAAAACAGTGAGACTAAGCAATGAATGTGAACTGGAGGAAAAGATTCTATGAGGAACTGGGCGGTTGTTAATGATAATGCTTCAAGAGCAGCACCTCATTTAATCATCTCCTTTGAAATAGTTTTCTAGAAGTCTAACATAATTCATGGTGTTCCTGTTTCTTAGTGTGGGGGCCCGGATTTGAGCTGGAACTTTGTAGGGATTATGAGCCCCCCGTGCTTCATGTTTTACCAGAGGCCAAGGGTATGAAGCGGGTGGCTGGCAGGTTCTCTGATGTGGTTTGCTCCTTCTTTCACATGAAACATTTCATTTTTTTTATCTCCTCTTGTCTTTACTTTGTATGTTACTCTCAAGTAACACCTCCTCTTGTCTTGTCTTTTTTTTTTTTTTTTTTTTTTTTTTGTTAACTCTCTAGAAACACCTGTAATCTTCGGCACTTAAAAGATCCTATTTGTGTTAAAAGTACGGTTAAACTTGTACTAAAACTGAAGGGTTCTAAAGGCTGCATGTCTAATTGTTACCCAGAAAACTGCATTATGACTCCAAGCTTCTTTTATTTCATACCAGTCAAGGCGAAAAAGAAAGAAGCTGTGGAGAAAGGAGACATGGACATCTTCGAAGACTTGCAGTCAATGTGGAAAAAGTCAAGTGACAAAACGAGCTCAAATCTCTTTGGGGCCTTCAAACACCCGGCCTCACTTTCCTTGCCACAGTCCCCTGCTTTCTCTGACAGCAAAGACTCCTATGGAAAGGAGGGCTATGAGCCTGTTAGCTTTCCCAAAGCTGGTATGTAATATTTTTAAAATTAAAATAATAATGAATGTACATAATAGTATGTGTATAGCACAAATTCCCATTCAACTTGTGCTGTACTATCTGTATCTTTATCTTAGTAGGCTTGATAGCGCTTTAAAAATCATCTCCATCTGCTAAGAAAGTTACAATGCCAGCTGCCATTTTACAGGCACTAAGACTAACTTACTGAAAAAAACTTAATCTATGGCTGGGTACCATTTACACCAGGGGAAGTGAGGAAATTTTTTTGTAAAGTGCTGTTTTGGGGACACAGCATGGGGTCAGGCTGAGCCTGGAACACCCCCCCCCCCCCCCCCCCCCCCCCCCCCCCAATCTGGTGATTATGAGTCCGGTTGCCTAACCAGTAAACTCAACGCCACATGTGGTGATCTAGTGTGTTGAAGTAAATTATTTAGTTCGTTGTGGTCCCGATGTGATCTAAGTGGAAGCTTTAATTTTCACCACATATGTAACCTAATCGTTTTGCAAATACCGCAAGGCTCTTACAAAAATTAAACAAATGTTTCCCCGACTGCCAGGTCTGTTTGACATGGGCGTGTCGAAAGACGTGCTGCGGCCCACCCCCCAGACGTTCCTCCACCCACCGGTCATGGAGCACAAACTGATATCCAGCGGCCTCAGGCCGGAGGACGCGCCACCTCGCATCCTCGGCACACGCGTGCGGCACAGCATCGTGCACCCGCGCGACTCAGTGCTGTACCGCAACCAGCAGTCCCTTGTGGACGCCGCCTGCTTCACGGGCCGCTCATTCCGCGTGGGCTGGGGTCCCTCGTGGTCGTTTGTACATACTGGATTTGCTGTTGGGTTACAAGGTAAGAGTTTTCTGGTGGTGGTGGGGGAGGGGGATTATGCATTGTAAAATTATAAGATTTAAGCTGAGCTTCAAGCAGTTGCTTAGAGGACACCACAGATAAGAGGTAGTTTTTACTCGCAGGGGGGTGTGCATTGTAAAATAAAGATTTTAAGAGGACTTGAGCTGAGCTTCTTGTGATTGCTTGGAGGACACCACAGATAGCTTTACTTTCTTTTCACAGTCTCTTTGTTTCTTTCTGTCTAATGTGATATAGGTGTATTACTCTGGGTTGTGTAAATAGAATGAGAATAAAGTTGATTTATGAGGGGCTTTATGGCTGAGCCTTCTGAAACTGCATGGTGTGACATGCGTCTGTGGTTCCAAATCTTCGTTATTATTTTATATTTGTTAAAAGTTAAAAAGTTTGTTCTTATGTTCCTACCCATGTCCCGAGAGTAGCATTGGTGCCTAATGTTGAAAATCTTTGTATACATAAGGTCAGGTGGTTGGAGGGCAACAGAGGTAGGTCCTTCATCTTTGCTTTTCCTCTGTTGATCCATGTCTGTTTTCCTTTTTTGCCTGTACTGATTGACTGTTATTGTGTCAATGGGCTTCTCTTTACTCAAACAGGCAGTGTTAACGTTTGTCTGAGCGTGGTTTGGATTTTTTAAAACTGATCCGCGGATGGTTGAAGGAGGCCACTGGTAGGTCTTACTTCTTTACTTTCCCTCTGTTGTTTCTGTCTGTCCGTCTATCTTACTTTTTCCCAGCAATAAATGACTATTTTTGTGTCTATGTGCTTCTTCTTAAAGTGGGAAGACGTGGAATAACATTAAGAGGCTAGCCCAGGATAGAGAAAGGTGGAAAGCATTTGTTCGTGGCCTATACTCCTATACCCTAACCCAGGGTGAGAAAGGCAATGATGATGATAATGTGCTTCTCCGTACTCAAACAAACAAACAAATTAGACTGATCCTTTTTGTTCACTTTAGATGAAGAGAGTGCGGAGGTGTCCATCCTCCCATCTCTGCGCGGTCGGGTGAAGTCGCTGCCACGGCTCAAGAGCTGGCAAGCAGTCATGGAGAAGCTTCAGGTGTATGACTACATGGATCAGCGGAGCCATGCTGTGTTGGTGGGTAAAATGCTGTCGTGTTGCGCTATTGGGTCACTTTCAAGGTTCAATTTATGAGGGGGTGGGTAGTTGGCTGTAGCTCTGGTGTGGTTTGCTCCTTCTTTCCTTTATCAAACATCTATTGTCCTTAGCTCTCCTTTTTTTGTGTTTGTTAGTCTCCCGTAACACCTCTAATCTTCAGCACTTATATGACCCTATTGTGTTGCAAGTGCCGTAAAACTTACTAAAACTAAATACTAGACATATGAGTGGAGCAACTTCGAAAAACAATATATGTTGACTTTTCTTCATCGGTATAAGTCTTGACTAGAGGGCTTTCAGGGTCTAGAGGTTATGGTGTTCACCTCTCATTCAATAGATCCCAGGTTTGAAACCCGACAACGGCGGAAAATGTTACTTCTCTATAATTTTCTCCTTTCACCACCTTTCCTGCTCTCTTACTGTGTATTGTCATCTGCTTTTGTCTCCATGAGTGCCCTAAAAAACAAAAATAAACAAAAGTCGTGTTCAAATGATCAAGCAAACTCTTCTGTGTAGCCTGTTCAAAGATTTGCTTTTCAAATAGTGTATTTAATTTTTACCTGTGTGCGATTCTGTTTTGAGGGTGAATTTATTTTGACTTCTTTCTGAGTATTTCTATTACTATATTATGCTACCTTGTCGAACATAATTTTTATCTTGGGAACTCACAGTAAACATCACCTCTTTGATGTAATAAATAAAGTTGTAGACTTGATGTGAATCCTATATATATTTGTTTGCAGCATGCATTTATCATTGCGTTGAGTAGTAGTAGTAGTATAAGGTTTTACGGCGCTCGCAACTGCTAAGGTCATATGAGCGCGCTTGCGTTGAGTGCTGAACTGCAACAGAAAAGCAATGTAAAAGTGGTAAAATTATTTCCAGTTTGTTGGTTTGAGATAACAGGTGATTGAAGGGTGCTATTGTTAGGTCCTACTTTTTTTTTTTAACTTTCCCTTTGTTGTTTCTGTATTGTTTGTTATGTTTTGTTGTGCTTCATTCACGCCCAGCGCGCCCCCCCCCGAAAAAAAAATTAAATCGTAAAATGAATATATTCCTGTGGGAGGTTGGCAGGTGCTCTGGTGCGGTTTGCTCTTTTTTTCCCTGTCAAATATTCTATTGTCCTTAGTTATCTCTCTTCCTATTTTCTTTGGGGGGAGGTGTTGGGTTTTTGGGGGTTTTTTGTGTTACTTTTTTATAATACTTCTATTCTTCAGCGCTTTTATGACCGTACTGCATTGAATGCGCTGTAAAACGCTTACTAAAACTAAAATCTGACCTCGTTGTGTTACAAGTGCTGCAAAAGGCTCACTAAAACTAAAATCTGACCTTGCTGCATTGCAAGCGCCGTAAAACGCCTCACTAAAAATACATTCGTAAACTTTTTGACTACCTGTGCAGAAGCAGCAGGAAGAGCTCCTGGAGGTGCAGCTGGACCACAGCCTCATGGAGGTGGAGGATGGTGCTCCTCTGATGGTGCCGGAGCCGGGCGTGGACGCTCTACACAAGCTGGTCCGGGCCGTGGAGGAAGGCAAGGTGGACCTAGGTGAGTACTTCACTGGGACTTCTAGGCTGATTATTTAACCCTGTCCCTACGCCATGGGGTCATTTTGTACCCCTTTGATTGTATTCTTCACATTTTAGAATACTTCTAGTGCGACGATGTCTTTGAAACTTTCAGTATTTCTCCAAAAAATCATTTTGACAGACTGCTATGCAAAGCGTATGGATCAGATTAACGAGTACATTTCCTCTTTGGAAAGTGGTGGCACAGAGTTTCCCACGTCATATGGATATAGTAAAACACGATGTATGGATAGGGTTAAAACAAACAAAAAAATTTCCTTTGTCACGATTTTGGTGCCGATATTTGTAAGTTACATAAAATGTGTCAACATGGTACCGTACAAATTGTTATACTTGAAGAAAAATAAAACAAGGAAAAAGGGGTGTGATGATGATTTTCAAGGTTGATTTTGATGTATAGTCAATTGCTGTGATATAGGGATATGGGATGACACTGCTCCGCACCTTAGGAAGGTTAAGCACTTGCATGCTGTGAACATTACGTTTCGGTGGGGGGGGGGGGGTGAGCAGAATATATATTCATTGGTGTTCGCAAGTATTTGATCTGACTTTATGGTCCTCAGACATTTTATGTCTTGTTTTCTTACGGTTTTTTGGTTTGGGAAAAAGTTGGTGAAAGGCCGCTGCTTTTTTACAGTAGGTACAATGCTCCCAAGATTTTTTAATGTATCTTTCCCTGGTAAAGAATGCCCATTGTAACACATGTATGCAATTGGGCCCGGGTGTTTGAACAAATTCAGTGATTCACTTTCAAAATGCAATCTAAAATGATAAAGTTAACAAGAGTGCTGTTGGCTCCAACATTGTGTTGAATTATCCTGGTTCAAGTTGCCTACAAGGCTTTCTTGAATCTGGGTTTATGGGAAAGTTTCCAATGTTTTGCTTTCTCTTGGCCATGTCTGATTGGTTACGTAGATTAAGATTAGCAAGTCCTACTTCTTAACCATGTGAGTGCTGAGATGGAATTTACAGCAAGTTAATTGCTCATTTTTGCACCAAAAAATACCTAAAATAGACTGAATCTAATTGCGCATATTTTCTGCATGCTTTTTTTGGCTTGACCAAGATTTTTCTGCGTCTTCCACCAGTGGAGATACATAAACGACAGACAAAATTGTCCACATCACACACTACCGTAAGGATGTAAGCGTCGTCATGGCACTCAAGTTGCTTTAAAAGAGGTTGCAGCATTGAAAGGGGGTTTAGTTTACATATTTTTGATTGATTGCATTGTCAGAAAGTGACTGCATTCTTACTTTGAATATTCTTTTTTGCCCCTACAGCTTCTAGCCTAGACGGCCCCGTGCAGGAACAAATGAGGATGGTTTTGGGACTGTGTGTAGCCCTCTGGGGAAATTTGCCAGATGCGGCAGATTTAGGTGAGGATGGAGCTTTTTCTTCCATATTGATCGATTTTGGGTTGTTGGCATTTGTTCTGGTGTGGTCTGCTCCTTCTTTCCTCCTACATTGTCCTGGTCTCTTCTGTTGTTGTTGTTTTTTTGCGTGTGTCTGTTACTCTCTAATCTTCAACACTTATTTCGTGTAATGTGTTCCAAGTGCTGAAAAACCCACGTTAAAACAACAAAAAAATACATAGATTGATCAAACTTATTCTGAGCAGTGATTTTTGAAAACTCTTGTGTGGTCTGCTTCTTCTACGCGTTGTTTGAGTGTCGTATTTGTTGAATCCTGTTACTGTCAAAATGTATTTGTTATCGGCTGTGTCAGGGTTAACTTCATGCACACAAAGTCATAATGGTGTCCATCAATGTGGCTGGCTCCCAATAAAAGAAGCGTCTCAGCTGATAAGGACAATTCTCATTTCAACGCTCTCTTCCCCCCCCTCTCTCTCTCTCTCTCTCTCTCTCTCTCTCTCTCTCTCTCTCTCTCTCTCTTTCTCTCTTTCTCTCTCTCTCTTTTCTCCTTTCTTTCTCTCCCTCTCTTTTCTCTTTCTTACTCCCCTCCCCCCCTTCTCTTCCTCTCCTCTCTTTTGTCTTTTGTATCATACAGTGCTTGCCACCCTATGTGAGTGGGTGGTTGGCGGGTGCTCTGGTGTGTTTTTTTGCTTCTTCTTTCCTATCTAACATCTATTGTCCTTATCTCCCCTTCTTCTTTTTTATGTTTGTTACTCTCTTGTAACACCTCTAATCTTCTGGCACTCATATGGCCTTATGCAGTTGCAAGTGCCGTAAAACCTCTACTAAAACTAAAACGAAACCACCCTATGTTTCAGACAAAGACGACCTTTACGTGAGGCGGCAGCTGCGCCGAGAAGCTGTGTCCCAGTGGCTATCGGAGACCAGCTCGAGCAGAGTTGCCTCAGAGATGGAGGCTGCTCCCATCATTGTGAGTTCTTCTTACTCTCTCAACCTTGCCCAGGAAATGGTTACGAAATCCTGGATAAAACATGAATGGAAAAAAACAACCCCACCAACACCACACACACACTCACTTACACACACACACACCCGCAAATTTTTTCACATGATGAGTGGTAACTCTGTAATCTTTACCTGATTGTTTAGACCGTATATTATATCCATATCCTACACGTGTTATATGTGTTGTAAGTGGGTGGTTGGTGGGGGATCCGGTGTGGTTTTGTCCTTCTTTTCTATCAAACATTTATCGTCCTTATTTCTCCTTTTTTTTTTTTTGGTGTTACTCTCTTGGAACATTTGTAATCTTCAGCACTTACATGACCTTATTTTGTTGCAAGTGCCTTAAAACTAAGCCACTAATAATGATAAAAAACCTAAAGGTTTCTTTGAGCATGTTCTGACCTGACTTGACCATCAATGATTTATTTATAGAAGCACCAGCCGTCCATGACCAGGTGTTAACTCTTTAACGCCGGAATTATTTTCCATGTTTTGTCGGAATTATTTCCAGATAGCATTAACAGACCTGCCTCTCATCCCGATTTAGTCGGGATATCCTGATTTTTTTGCCCAAAATCTCAAGCATCCCGGTTTTCCCGATTTCGATCGCGTGTATCCCGATTTTTTGTCCCAGTCTGCTTTTGTGCCGAATTTTTCTAAAAACTTACTCTGCCTTTATCGCGGGAAGCACCCGTTGAACTTTTTGTCAGTAGGAACTCGGAAGTACTATTTCCAGAAATATTGATGCCGCATATAGTAGTTGACTCGCCCCAAGTTATGTGTGATCTTTTCCCGCACTCAGAATTCTCCGATGATAGCCTGGTAACTGTTACAATTTGGGACATTTAATAATCGATAATGTTCGTAGTTCCGCTGTTACTTTCAAAACAAGCCTTGTCCGAGGTCTGGTAACTGCGCGTTCACATCAAACACTCGGACGAGCGACAGTCTTTCTAACTCTTACACAACTACATGTAACTGCTCTGACAAGACAAACATACGGCCGTTGTCGCTGCTTTTGTGTGAACACATGAGGGATAAGAGATTTGTTGGTACATTTGGTCGGTCGGCCGCCGTCGTTATTCTAGAAGTAGGACAACTGTCGCTCATCCGAGTGTTTGTGGTGAACGCGCAGTTAGTCGGGCCCATTAGTAAAATTGTTTGAATCGTGCATTCGCGTCGCGTGACCTATCATCGCCGTGTGAGTTCTGCGTGTCGGGGACTGTCCGTTGACAGGGTCAACTTAAGTTCATATATTTCGGGGCTTATTGGTGGAGGGGTATAGACACTTGGACTAGGAGTACTTGACGCGATGCTTCAGGGTTTACAAAAAAATAATGATAACTCGTACGTACGCACGCACGCACACACACACACACACACGCAAACAAAGACACACAGAGGGCATATAGGCCAAGGAATTTATGGGCACCCCTGGAAAAATTTTAAGTCAGCTTTGACAGTCACCCTGGTGATTTGCTGTTGATCCCGATTTTTTTCACCAAATCCCGATTTTTTCTCCCTGAGATCCTGATTTTGAGGTTTCATAGAGTGGCAGGTCTGCATTATTCATTACCTAACGGGGCATGCACGCAAAATATTAATAAAATGGCTAAAACTGTTAAATGAAAGAGGAAGTAGTTTATACATTTCTCTAGCACTTCCGAGTGAAAATAAATCTACTTGAATTCGTAGAATATTGCTTTAGCAGTAATACTTTTGGCACCATGCGATCTGACCGGATGCAGGGACGGTCCTCACGGGATCCAGGCTAGTTTCGCTGGACGCTCCCATCGTCCACTCAGGGTTATAAAGTTAATCTCAGGGTTCCCTCTCAACCAGGAAAGCGGGTGAAAAGGTCACGAATTTCATTTTCAGATTTTATCGGGCGGGAAAGCACCATGAAAATGAATGGAAATGAAAATAAATGGGAGAAAGCCAGAAAATCAAAGGGCTGCCCATTGATACAAATTTGGCAGAATAATGAGGATTTATGTATTGGATATTGAAATGCTTTCATGCTGTCCTCAAAATGTTATTTTTAAGCAAATTCAAATGAGTTTATGAGGGGGGGGGGATGTTAAACACAAATAGATATATGTCCCCAATGTGTTATCTCTGTTGTAAGTGTACTTGTCTTAAAATGTTGCTGTTAGCGACTGCAAGAATAATTTTTTTCCACCAGGGCACATTAATTTTGACTGTGCCCATGTCTCTTGTCTCAGGCTTAGTTCGGTTTGTCCTCAGAGTCCAGAGGATTGCCTCGGTGCCGTGTTCTCCAAGCTGACAGTGAGGGAGATCTCCGAGGCCTGCTTGTTGGCCCAACGCGGCCGAGACCACCGCATGTCCCTTCTGATGGCCCAGGCCATGACAGGCCAAGCTTTTAGGCAGTTGATGGCCGCACAGCTCGACAAGTGGGCAGAGCTCAATGTAAGCAGCATAGTTTCTTCCTGCTTTCTGTTATTTTTTTGTATATTTATTGTGGGGGGAAAAACTGAGTTTGAAGTTTCTTAAAAGAGAAAATGCACCTTTGAATGAGTCTGATGCTTTTCCAGTTATTGTGACAAAAAATAATATTTTAGAAAGTATGGAAAAACATTTTCATTTTCCCCAAAAAAAATGTTAAACTAAGAATAACCTTGTAACATAACATCCAATCTTGCAATGCACCCGTCTGCACCCACCTAAAGAAAAAATTAAGGTAAAAAGTGGCTACAAACTACTTTTCCACCTATACGTTCAGAGATTTATTAAGCATAAAAGTTATGAAGTCGTTTAGATTTATTTAGCAATATAGTACATAAATTATTTTATTTTTTTAATTTGTACTGTTCCTTACTGTTGATGCAGGCATGCCAGTTTGTGAAAGAGCTGCGAATGAAAATCTACTGCCTACTGGCCGGTGAGCTTGTCTGGGCTACAAAGGACCTGACAGTCAACACCTGCAAGGGACTGGATTGGAAAAGAGCCTTGGCTTTGCACCTCTGGTCAGTGTGTGTGTGTGTTGACGGCGGTGGAGTTCTTTGGATTTAAAAAGCTTATTTGGTGAATGGTTTGCTTTTTAACACATTACACCCTAACTCGCCCGGGAATTCCCTTACGCGCTCCACCCTGACTCGCCCGGAACCGCCCGCGCCAACCCAGCGTCTTTAGAAACGAAAGTCTCGCCTTGACGAGACTCTGGGGCCGGGATTTTTATTTGCATAGTATAGCAAAAAGTTTCTTCTTTCGTTTGATACCGAAACGAAATTTTTCGGGCTAGTAGTTTTAGTATTAGAGCTGATCGAAGTGCGATCGCGTTACCGACACTTCGAAAGTGCCTCGACTTGTTGAAAAGCGACACAATTGAGTTCGAAAACGGAAATAACAATGGATTTGAGCAAAAACGAGCATGTGACAAATCAGATGGCTCAGATTTTGATGATAACGTTGTAGGAAGAGTTTGGGGCGATTCCGATTTATCAGACGGAGAAATTATAGAATTTAGATTTAGGGCCCGACCGCGAGGCTGAGAGTGAGAGTGACGGGTCGGACACCCCGATTGAACTCAAGTGAGAACATTTCCAACAGTTTGCGCATACATAAAGTTATATTTTTCTGAAACTACATTCAGTTTTCTTTTTAACTTTTATATTTTCAGGATTTTTGGAATTTGTTTAGTATTTTTAAAATGTGTTTTTTAAAGGCTTGTATTCAGGGGAGGTGGGTTCTTTCCCCTTGCTTAGGATCTAACAATGGACTTCCCGTCCAGGCCCTTAGGGTGTAATGTGTTAAGATTTCTTTAAGGTGTCCAAAGTTTTTACTGTAGGTTAGGTCTACACAACCAGTATCATCACCAATTTTATACACATTTGAATGTTTTAAGGTTTTCCATTTTTAGGGGGATTGGGGGGGGATTGGTGGTGTTAATTTACATTGTCTGTGTTGCAGATAATTTGCGTAACCAAAAAAGGATCAATTTACATTGTCTGTTTTACAGGTAATCTGTAACGAGCAAAGGGTGAATTTGCATTGTCTGTCTTGCAGATACTCATATTTAATCAGTGAAACCTCGAGTTATATATCTGAGTCACAGATAATGTTATATATGACTTGACAATTGGTCTACAGAGTCATGGACAAGAAGGAATGTTCCATAAAATCCTTTTTCATGTTGTTAAACTATAAAAGAATAGTCATGATATATGTAATGGTCCCTTGATGAAAACAAAAATGTTCTTGTCAGCTGTTCTGTCAACAGAGTTTGCAACTCCCGTTAATGGGGTGCCACTTTTGCACTGACCGTGTCATCTGTTCAGCTAAGCTTTGCAAATTTTCTAGTATATAACCTTGTAACATAACATGCAATCTTGCGATGCACACGTGTGCGCCTGAAGAAAAAATTAAGGTAGAAAGTGTCTGCAAGCTACTTTTCTACCAATACGTTCCGAGATTTAGTGAGCATAAAAGTTATGGCACATTGCCATTATTTCTTTCGTCAAGATTTCAGATATAGTGCCTATCTTTTGCCTTTGAAGTACACTTTTTTGTGTGTTGAAGGGTGTTAAAAGTGAAAGGAAAGCGTAAATAAGAAAATCTACAACCCATGCCTTCTTTCTTCCATAGGTACAAATGCCTTCCCGGTGAATCGATCCAGCAGGCACTGGCGCAATACCAGAAAGGTTTCCGAGGCTCGAAGGAGAGCCAGGCGTACTGCGCTGCTCCTGTGCCTCCTTACCTGGAGGGAGAGAATCTCGGGGATGAGGAGATCTTCGACACGGCCTATCACTTACTGTGTTTGTTCTCCGATAAGAAGTACCCCCTGGAAGCCGTTCTGTCCCCGTCCTCGTCCACCGCTTCACATCTGGACTTCCGCCTTAGGTAAGAAAACAGGATATTTGTTCTATATAATACACATTCTTGCCTTTTGAAGTTTAAAAAAAAATTGAATAATGCTCTCTAGAATAACCAGAAAAAGCCCACAATCTGTAAAAATTCGAGGGCAATCTCAGCCCCATCAAAACTGTAAACTCTGGAGAGAAATTTAAAGGAAAATTTTTAAAACTTTAATATTGCACTTTATAAAAACGACACAAGAAACCCACAATCTTTAGACACTTTGAGCTCAAACTCAGTTTAATCCCTCACGGTCTTGTTCTCTCTGCCAGTTGGCACCTGTTGCAGACGCTGGAGTCACTGGGCTACCGCCACCTGTCCCCACAGTGTCGTGACACCATCCACGTCAGTTTTGCCTCGCAGCTGGAAGCCCAGGGCCTGTGGCAGTGGGCGGCCTTTGTCCTGCTTCACATCCCCTCGGCCGTGCAGCGGCAGAAGGCAGTGCAGAGTCTGCTGCAGCGCCATCTGGGCATCGGAGAAGAGATGACGGAGAGGGAGCGATTCTTGTTGGACAAGCTGCACATCCCAGCCCAGTGGCTGCACCAGGCTAAGGTGAGACCTAAAGGTTATGTGTGAGGTTTTTAAAAAATCCTTTTCGTGATGACTAACCACCTGGTCATAGCGAAAATTATGAGGGGGCTCTCGTGCCCTAGAGGTTAAGGTGTTGGCCTCTCCTTCAAAGGTCCCGGGTTCGAATCCGGGTAGCAACCGAAAAATTTTCTTCTCTAAAATTGTCTCCTTTCACCTCCTTTCCTGCTCTCTAGCAATATTCTGTCGTCTGCTTTCGTCTCCTCTTTCTGCCCCCACCCCCTCACCTCCCTTGCCCCTTCTTCTGGGCTCCTGACTCTTTCTGCAGCCTTTCTACTGTTACTCCTTGACTCCTTCTTACAGCTGTATTTCTACCACACCCCTGATCTTCTTTTAGGAAAGATCTACACCTAGCCTTCTCGGACAAGGGCGAAAAATCTCGGAGGGCCCGTGTGCAAGTTGCGCACGTTAAAGATCCCTTGGTGGTCTAAAATCGATAAGAGTGGGCTTCGGCCGCCACCCGGGCAAAATTCAAAATTTCCTACCAACGAAAAAGTATTGGGTGTGTCCCGTGCTCTCATATGACCTTATGCAGTTGCGAGCGCCGTAAAACCCTATAGTAAACAAACAAACAAAGAAATTATGATAGCCAGAACTGTCCAAGATAGCCACCCATTGTCAAGGAGAAAAGTGGATAAGTGGACATTGTATGTAAGTATATTATAATATACAGTGCTTTCAGTCTTCCGCAATTTTGGGGATTTCCGCAAATTTGCCGAATTCCGCAAATGGAAAAATTTCCATGAAAATTCGTACGAAAAAAAAAAAATCTTCAAAAATGCGAAATAAAAAATGTCCGTAATTACTAATAGTCAACATTAGCCAACCCTTACCGGAAGTGCTCTTTTATTTGAAAGTGTAGACAGTGTCTTTTACTTTCACTTTCTGAGGCCCAAGAAGCAGAGCTCCAGCACTGTAAACAAGAGGAAGAAATGACGATTGTGATTCAATAGATCTTGGGCCTGCCAAGAAAAGAAAACTGAAGAGAGCTTGATTTTTTTAATTTTTTTTTTACCAGACTTGTTTATTTGTAGATCTAAGTATTGTTGTGGACTTAGGTTGAAAATAAGCTGTCAAGTTATTTAGATCTAGATTCTAGATCTAGATCTAGATAGCTGTTATACTATTATTATAAAGATTCTACCCATTATGATACACAAGCAGAAAAAAGTTGAACATTCACTGTCAAGTTTTATAGATCAAGCTGTTATACTACTACCGTTATGGATGTACAGTATCGGTACAAGGGAGAAAGCATGGCTTTGGATTTAGATCTAGAATTCTATATAGATTTTAAACACAAGCAGAAAATTATGTGTGCAAGCAGCAAGGTATGTTTTTTTCACTTATTTTCTTGTTAAATCTAGGCTTGAATAGCCAGAAATGGCATACTTAGTATACCCTGAAACCAAAAATTCTCAAACATAAGGGGCTGTCCCCCTTCAACTCCCTGCCAGGGCTCTGCCCTGGACCCGGAAATCCTCGAAAAATGACATCGGCTGCTGGAAGCTCTGAATAATAATATAGTATAAAAAAAAACAAGGGGGGAAGTGCTGCTGTAAGCTGACAAAAGTCCTTTTTTCATTTTGGCACCATTTTTTATTTGCTAAATCGAAAGCCTGATCAATTACCCTACGTGTGTAGAAAAAAATCAAAGTGAAGCTGACTAGTTTTTAAATTCATTCGATTTCAAATTTCGGACTAAGTATTTTTAAATGGTTACGCTGACAAAAAAGATATTTTTCTGAAAACTGCTGTGAAGAGAAAAAGGCATTTGTCAGCTTACGGCAGAGTGGTCATTTGGACAAGTGGTTGTTAGATCAGATTCAGCAGTACTTACGGTACTTACCAGCGCAAGGTACAGAATGCTCTAGGTGGGGGAGTACCTGAGAAGACCAAGTGTGTTCAGATACTCAGGAGAGATACTGACTTATGTGTTTCATATCTGCCTCTTTTTTTTTACCTCTTTTCTCTTTTTCTTTTCTATTTTAATTTCCTTTCCTAAATTAGCTAATTAATTTATTTATTTAGTCATGCGTTAGTACCTAAAAATTTGCTTCATGAATACATTTCTAATGTTTTAGCCATGAATGGTGCTTTACACCCTTACTGTGCTTGTTTCAGGCTATCCGGGCTGGTCTTGAGAGTAACCGTGCAGCAGAAGCCCGACACTGGCTTCTGGCGGGTCAGTACGACAAGGCACACACCATTGTGATCAGACACATTGCTGCCGATGCCATCATCAATGGTCAGTACATTTTCTTTTTCTTTCCTCTTTGAGATTCAGGAGCGTGCTAAATTTAAATCAGCTTTCTCTGTAGAAAGCTACTATTAAGGACTGAGGTTCCTCCAGCACACAGACTCATATATTCTTAACTCAAGATTTCATTCCTTAATTCTGTAAAACACCATATAAGAGTTAATAATGATTAGATTTTTTGTCTTTTTTCTGCAGAAAAAGGTTCAATACAAGTAGTATGTGATGTGGACACAACAGATTTTCCTTGTATTTTTTTTAGTGAGCACTCACTTAAATCCAACAACCTGCCATTTGCTGGGCTTGTTCTCTTGAACTATTTGTGGGCTTGTTTTTGTTGGAAGGGCAAAGTATACTATGACCTTAGAGCATGCATCAAAATAGCATTGAGTGTGTATCTAGCTTACGATTCTTATTTTTTTATATTGCTGCTCATTTATATTATGCATGTGATTGTAAGCCTACGTGTGTGTGTGTATGTGTGTGTGTGTACACGTGGTGAAACATCAAACCAATGTGCCAGGATTTGGACAATAAAGTATAAAGATGTTTCTCATATCTCTCTCATCAAGTTGTCACCATATAGCTCCTCCCTCCTTCTCTCACTCCCTCTACATCTCTCTCTCTCTCTCTCTTTCTCTCTCTCTCTCTCTCTCTCTCTCTCTCTCTCTCTCTCTCTCTCTCTCTCCCTCTCCCTCTCCCTCTCTCTCCCTCTCACTCACAATCCTAATTCTCCCCTCTTCTTTCTCTGTGCAGATGATTACAACTACCTGCGTAGCTTCCTTGAGAAAATGGCCCTGCCTGAACACAGTCTCAGTATCCTCAACTGGGCCAGCAGTGGCAAAGTTTTCCTTGACTTCATCAACATCCGAGAGCGACTGGAGCTACTCAAGCAGGTAGGTCTTTGTCATGTGCGCCATTGCACTTGGACTCTTTGTGTTGCTTGCTGGGGTTGGACTTGATATCTTTTGGGTAACTCGCATTTTTGCACATGTAAAGCTACAAACATTTACACACATACACACCCACACACACAGTAAAGCTACAAACATTTACACACATACACACACACACACACACTCACTCACGCCATCCCTCATTACACCACTGTCACTGATGTTCAGAGCTCAGTGAAATATTTAATGAGGAATATTTTGCTGTTTGTGATTACGACTGTAAAAACTTTGATTGTCAATTATTTTAAATATCAAATCATGGTCTTTGTTGCTCGTCATTGCACACTTACGTGGTATCGGTAGATCCCAACAATCCCACTACTTTGATTAAGATAGAGTCGATCACTTTTTTTTTTTCATATGAATAAATAAACTTTCGAGTTAAGAGAAGGATGGCAGATATTTATTATTGTTTCCCCTGACACATGGTAATTACCAAGTTCGAGGCTGACTTTCATTCCATTCTCTCATTTCCTTCTCGTTTTTCCAGCAAGAGCCAACACCGTATGATCTGGAAGAGCTGGAGCCAGAAGTGCGTTCCTTGTGCTCCCGTGTAAAGTCCCTGACTTGCCTCAACGCTAAGGACCGACTGTGCCAAGCAGAGATGTCCAAGACAGCTGCCAGCGTGCTCCGCACCTTCCGCGACCTACAGGGGAAGCTTTCTGTCAGGTAGCTGCGGATGTCCGTATCTCGTTTTGTACTAAAGTTTTACATGTTCAGCATTTCAGACTTCATGTGAAAAGATTCAGGTAAAAAGGGCTGATGTCTTGAAGATGTCCTAACAAATTCCGTTGTAATCAAGATTCTGAGAGCTGAGGAGCTTTAGGACATTGCAAACAGAACGAATCCAAGATTTTTACGGGTCGGGGGAAAGGGCGTAGACAAGTTTTTCATTGAAGAAAATCAATTGTCGAGCAGTTACAGTTTGAATGGAGGATGTGAGTTAGTGAATAGTGAGATGACTCCTTTTTTAGTGTTTGAAATTATACAATTTTGCCATGCAGACTTTGGTTTGCTTGCAATATTTTGATATTGTGAATTCTGAAACATATTATGACTACCTGGTTCTTGTTCAGCTTCTTTTTCTATTTGTTACATGTTTTGTAGTTTGAATTGGGTACATCCTCCAAAAGTCATATGTAAGAGGGGCATGATCTATATCTTTCATTTTTATGTAATAGCACCGTGCTTTTTGAATGGGCTATCTTCATTGGTGTTTTTTAAATTATTATTATTATTACAATTGCTAGTATGGTATTTTTTTCTTGTAACTTTTGGACAAAAATCTAAGATTGATGTCACAAAAGTAGTCAAATGCTTTTCAAAAACATCTGCAACAAATTTAGAGGAATCTCATGAAGCACTTTTTGGTACGGTCCTCAGGTTTCTGACTGAGCACATTCCTGATTTGCCAATGCCGGAGGACTATAAACTGCAAGAACTGCGAGCCATCACTCAAGCTCGTGTGCTGGAGTTGGCGTAGAACAAGTCACACATGTCACAAAAGCAATGAATCTGGATGACAGACAACAGCGATGCTTTTAATGAACACCCCTGCGTTGACTCCCTGTACTCGACCACTGGCGATTTTGTTGTCTGGGTAGTTTTATAAGCTAAGTGCTGTCGGTTCAATCTGTTGTAAGCTGGGTATGATTGTGAGATGGTGACACATTCTCCACGGAACCTGGACGTACTGTTAGCTCAGTTTCATGCCCCACTGTCCTCTGTACCTGTCTCGTTGAGGAGAGATTGCCAAATCTGGCAGTCTAGTTCGAACAATGCTGTCTTCATTCAAGAGTGCCTGTCGGAGAAAGCTGTTCAAGCTGACATTCTGATGCCAGATTCTCCTCAGATCAGTGTTTCCTGACTTTGATGGAGACACTGAACCCCACAATTATTATCTGTGCATTCACCGAACTCTCCTAGTGAGGTGAAAAGAGCAGGGACACACACAGTGTGTGTGTTTTAGCCTCCTCAGAGCGTCTGAGACTGGCCCACCGAACCCAAGAGGTTGGACCAAACCCTGGTGAGGAACCAGTGTCATAGACTGGGAGTTTTTGGGGATTGCTAAATGCTGACAAACTAGATGTGATAGGGCTGTACTGCCATAAGCGGACAAAAAACCCTTTTTTTAAAATTCACTGCAGTTTCAAGAGAAAGGTTTTTTGTCAGCGTGACCATTTAAAATAGATGGGATTTTTTTCAAAATTTGAATTAAGTTATTTTTAAAAACTAGCCAGTTTCGCTTTGATTTTTTCAAGCTTTCAATTTAGCACACCCCCCCCCCCCCCAAAAAAAAATGGCAGCAAAACGGGGGGGGAAAATGTGTTTTGTGAGCTTACGACGGTATAGGTTAGCCCAGTGCTTGCTGCCAAACTACAAAATTTTGTATGGTTGAAGAAGACCTTCCCTGCCTGATGACACTCTTTATGTGTTCTGAAGTTTCATGTGTTGATTTCTATATTACTCACCCTGCCAAACAAAAAAAATCATTTTCAAAGTTCCAAAGTTTTTGACCATCTGGATGGAAAGTGCTGTAGGGGAGGCTTGTGTCTCGTCTTGGGAACCAACTTTGCATTCAAAATTGCTTACGAGAGAACAAATACTTTGCAAATGTGCAGAAAAACAGTTTTAAGTTAGACAATCTTCAAACACTTTCATTGACATAATTGGACTTGTTTTTGATCTGATCTTTCACTTTGTGCCTTTTCTAAACTTGGCTGAACATGGTCCTAGGGGAAGTTATAGGCGTGACTTTTCCTCAGCGCTCGTAATTTTTCTGAAGCGCCTCGTAGTCTGTGCAGAAGTGTAGTGTAAGTTTTTATGGATACAGTATTAGTCTGACGGTAGCGACTCTTTGAAAGTCATTGTAAATTCATTGTCAAAGTACAGGCTCTTGCTTTTAAAAGTCTTGTGGCAAGAGGCGGTCTTTGAAGAGCATGAAATAGATTGTCATTTAATTTCGTTTTCTATTGTTGGTCACTATGATTTTGTCATATATTTTTTTGTGTTATAATTCTTTTGGTACAATGTGAGAGCTGCATCCTTGCTGTTTCATTCCTCATATAATTTTCAAAGAAGATTTAATAGGCCTTGAAGTAGGCATGAAACATTTTCAGACATCATTTTTTAAATGTCAGATGCGTTAATGGCTTCCACCCAGATTTTAAAAAAGCAAGGAACAAACTTATATTGGTGCACTCATGTTGGTTTTTTCTTTCACTTAAAATATCCTCTTTTTTGGGGGGGGTTTTTTGTTTGGTGGGTCATGAATTCATACAGTTGGAGCCCTTTTTAATCTCTGGATTAATTTTTTTTTCATTTTGCTTCATTTCACAATATGATGCATTTCTAATCGTTAGGGTTTCAGTATCAATCTGTATATATATCCATGAGTACTGTAACCTATGAGAATTGCTTTGGTCTGTTTAGTATTTTGAAGGCTCCTGTATTTTTGTGTACTGGTGACTTTTTTTATGTTTACTTCTTTGTCCTGAATGATGCAGAGCTGATCATAAAATAATGTACAGTATGTTATGGCATGAAAGTTAATGTATGTACATTTGGGGGGGATGGTTGTTTTGTTTTCTTGTTTCCTGAAAATAAGCATATTTGAGTGTGTTTACCTCATGATCAGATGTTTTTTAGATATATGTAAAGTGTTTTGTGTTGAGATGAACTTTTTTTTTCAATAAGCCTTTATTTATATTTTCTTTGTATTTCAAGTGGAATGGCATTTTTGACTCTTATGGCCGTTTTATGGTTAATCGAAAATTGAAAACGAACTAAAAGCATAAGGCGGATGCAAAACTTTTGTTTGTTAGGATGTCATAGAGGTGAAATATGTGAATGATTCAGGACCAACATGTTGCTTGGTTGCATGTTCCCATGATGGAATGTAGATGGTAGATTGGGAGTAGACTGACATGGTATGTGTGAGGAAGGCATTGTGAACTTGAGCCTGGTTTATCGGAGGGGACCGGCGTCTTTAGTGTAGCAGTTAAGCACTTCGCTGTCACATGCAGGAGAACCGAGTTCAATACCAGAGTGGGGTGAAATTTTTATCAAGAATCTCGATCTCGGTCTTTCTGCTGGGATTCATACCTCGACTCTCGGCCTGGTTTGGCCCAGGCAGGCAGGGTCGGATGACCATCTCTTAAAATTACAATGATCTGAACTGAGTCGATGGGAGCGCAAAAATACTTACAATAAGATTATCAGAGGGGATACATGATTCTGAGCAAGCTCTTTGTCATGCTGCGAACTCTTGCATGATTATTCTCTTCTCATGGTTACAGCCTGTGCCTTTGTGGCTGGAGCGAACTCTGGTGGCTACTTATTTTGAGTAGAAGTTGCCTCTTTGCTCGGTGCCTCCATGTTCTTTTGACAGGAGGTTCGTCTGGTTTTTGAAAATCCAAAATTGCAAAGATGCTCCGAATATTGGGTTTTTTTCGTTGTTGGTTTTTTTCTTCAATTTTAGTACATTTCATTCCGGCTTTAAACACACTGACATAAAACACATTTCAGACTCAAGCACGCTAAACAGCTCTTACCAAATTCTTGCTATATATAAATTACACACCTTTAATCATGGTAACTTCGGCTTTGGGCAGGCTTCATTTACAAGACAGTCAATACTTTCATGATGACCCATCGAAGTTCGAACACAGTCTACACCGCAGCAGTTAGTGTGTTAGGAGAAACACAAGTGATGGAGACACATGCGCGGAGAGGAAGGCAGAGAGATGCACACAGCCGCACATGTGGACATATGATCTAGCCTAGGTCAAAGCTACACATGAACAAACAAAAAAATTTGTTTTTAATTACAAAGAGTCGGGGAGACGAGAAAAGGAGGCTGGCTGCGATTTCACCTTTGCCCCTCGCTATCCGTTAATCCTGTTCATATATCACGCGAGAGGTGGGATAAGGCGGTGGTATGAATGTAGCACAGCGGGCAGTGGTACGCACAGACAGTGTGCACTTCTAGTGTGCTGTATCGTCTAAATGAAGTTATCATTTCCCATTCGACCACCAAACTAACAAAACAAAACCTACCATGGCGGGTAAAAATGGCCGCACACTTTTGCGCGACCAAACTTACAAAACAAACATAGGGAAAAGTACCCTGGAAATTTTCTACATGAAAATCTCTGGATTGTGTCTACTTCGCACCCAAGCACGCTTTCTCCCGATGACAGTGCTTAAAGTCGGCATGAACAGTACTTTTTTTTTCTTATGGGTGTGATTTGTTAATTAATTTAATTGTTCTGGGGTTGTTGAGGGTTTTTTTTGTATGTACAACCCAGGAAGGTTCAGAGTGTCCAAAATCTGTTTGGCGTTCCAGTCCTTTGTATATTTATATATATAGCTCAATTTGTAATTTTAGCATTCATTTTTTTGTTGTTTCCGTCAAAATAAAGTGGTGTACATAATAGAATGTGAGCGCTCATTATCACTTGAAGTTTATGTATGAGTTGATGTAAAATTGTCTGTATCTGGCTTTTATTTTTTAAGTTCTCTGTATGATGTATTTTTTCCTCCCAGTTGATGCCATGTTTTAATCATGAATAAAAAAAAAAGACAATGATGTGCTTTGAATCTAGTGTCTTCTTGTTCGGGTATAATGATGGGGGAGAGGGGGTGGTTGGCGGGTGCTCTGGTGTGGTTTGCTTCTTTTTTCCTATCAAACATCTATCATCCTTATCTCCCCTTCTTCTTTTTTATGTTTGTTACTTTCTTGTAACACCTCTAATCTTCTGGCGCTCATATGACCTTATGCAGCTGCGAGCGCCGTAAAACCTCTTCTAAAACTAAAATGATGGGGGGACATGGAATGTTTTTTTTGGTTTTTTTAGCAACAGAACAGTCGGACCTGTCCAAGAAGACCACCCATTGTGGGGGAGAAAAGTGGTCATCTTTCTTAGGCAGGTCATTCTCTTGGGTAGTGTCATCGTATAAATGTGCAAATAAAATGCAAGTTGGAAGTGGTCATTTGTAGAGGTAGTCGCTAGAGAAGCGTGTTCAACTATACTGGTTTAAGCTGACAAAACACCTTTGTTTTTCACAGCAGCAGCTTCGAGATAGAGAATTGTCAGCGTAAACATTTGAAAAAGACGTTCTTACGAAATTTAAATTCTAATATGTTCAAAAAATTAGTCTGGGATTTACTGATTTTTTCACACAAGTAGGGTAACTGATCAGGCTTTCCATTTAGCGAATTCAATTATTTGGCACCAAAAATGAAAAAAAGGCGTTTTGTCTGCTTACGACAATATACATGTAATTAAATTAGGAAATTGCTTGAGGTTTTTAAGGAGTTCAGACGTCCTACACTACTACTACTAGAGGTGAATAGATCATTTCAGTGTTGGGGTTCTTGACTCTGTCATTAGAATAAAGGAAGAAGACACATGTCACAATACATGTATACTGTCAAACCCCGTCTGTCATTAGAATAAAGAAAGAAGGCACATGTCACAATACATGTATACTGTCAAACCCCGTCTGTCATTAGAATAAAGAAAGAAGGCACGTGTCACAATACATGTATACTGTCAAACCCCTTTAAACTGCCTACCTAAGGACGACGGTGAAGTTGGTGGTACGACGGGGCTGGCAGTATATTGGGATAGCTCTGATTGCTTGCCAGCTTGACTTGTGGTAGACTGGTAGAGACTAGGGCTGTCTTGGCCTAGAGGTTAAGATGTTCACCTCTCATTCAAAGGTCCCAGATTCGAATCTGGGGAGCGACGGAAAACATTTTCTTTTCTAAAATTGTCTCCTTTCACCTCCTTTCCTGCTCTCTAGCAATGTTCTGTCGTCTTCTTTCGTCACCTCTTTCTGCCCCCACCCCATCACCTCCTTTGCCCCATCCTCTGGGCTCCTGACTCTTTCTGCAGCCAGTCTACTGCTTCTCCTTGGCTCCTTACTGCTTCAGCCGCACCCCTGACCTTCTGGCAGGAAAGATCTACACCTTGCCTTCTCGAACAAGGGCGAAACATCTCGGAGGTCCCGTGTGCAAGTTGCGCACGTTAAAGATCCCTTGGTGGTCCAAAATGGATAAGAGTAGGTAGGCGCTGCTGTCTTTGTTTTGAAGCTCTTTTTCATTTCTCCAGACGAAGAATAGGGAAACTGCACAGCTGGTTAGTTTCGCTCGTATTGTTTTTCACACAAGTAGGGTAACTTCGCAGCAAAGTCCGTGCTTTTTCGAAAAGGGCGCCACCAGATTTTGAGGACACTCTTTTAATTGGCTCAAAGAGAGGACTGAACTATCTTGTTATGTACGTTACTCATCAGCCCTCAGGTCGCCTCAGACCTGTCACATAGGCTTAAGCGCGAGTCCCTAACTACAATATGGTCACTTTTAAGGACAAGCAGGCTAACCCAGATTTCGGGGGTTTCCAGAAATCTTGACATACACCAAAAGTGGGCATTGCCCTACCTATAGAGGATAAGTTTGGTTTCATTGGTGTGTATATTTATTTGA